AAAAAAAAAAATTTACATTCTCATAACGAAAAAAATCCCCGCATGTTGATCTACATAACGAGAGTACTTGAGACGAATAAAACAAACAAAAAAATTAGAATAATAACTGTCCCTAATGCTTGAACAAATTAGGAATCTCTTCCAACTGTATCTTCTTGAGAATTCATTACACATATTTAGGGCAAAAAAGATTTATTCTCGAGTTGAAAGACCAGACCCACGAATAGTTTGTGCTCTGCGTAAACTTGAAAAAAAAGTATATGAGAGAGAAAAAGAGGGAGAGATGAAAATAAAGGGTTCACCGGGAAGTCACGTGTAGTGCAGATGAGCATGGTCCAAAAGACGACAGAGTAAAAAAAAAATAACTTTCAGGCATTCGTCTAATTTCTTTTTATTTTGTGGATCTTAATCACAGTATAAACTTGAACAATTCTAATACATGTATTGCGCCAACGGTACCTATACTTGTTTTCATAAAGCAACAAAGTCAGGATGTTTAAATAGGAGACAAAAGAACAGTCTTGTACAAAAAATAAAATGGCACGAGACTGAAATCTGTTCATCTCGCAAAGGAAGAGAATATATATATATATATATATATATATATATATATATATATATATATACTGTTATTCTCTTCCTACAATTTCCGTACACGTGTTTTGCAAACATTTTAAATAAACTTGTTAAAAATTGAAAATACTCATTGAAATTGACTTTCTCTTTAAAAAAAAAAATTCCATTTCATCGGAGTGTTTCAAAAATCTGAAAATTTGCGAGAAAAATATATTTTACAAAACAACATATTTTTTATAGGGAAAAAGATTCTTCAATAATGGAAATTGAAAAAAAAAAATGTAGACGCCTCTGAATCAGTTTCATTAATTTAACAAAAATACTTGATCCAAATCAAGAAAAAAAAATACAATCAGAAAATACAACTATTTCCAGAACCTCTGAATGGGAAAAGAAGAATTAGAAATAGAGATGAATGATAAAAATCCAGAAAAACTGTAACAAAAAAATTCTACGTCTGAGAATTTTACTCTGTAGGAACAATTTAATTCAATTGCAAAGTGAATTCTATAAATATCGCACAGTAAAAAAATGGTTTCAAACAATTCGACTCTTCGCATAAATAAAGAATTGTAAATATTTCCAAAATACTTGAAATTTGACAGAAAATACTCGAATCTTTTTCATAACTATCTAACAATGTATAGGACTATCAATTATAATGAATTTAAATAGTCAATTTAAAAATATTAATTTACTTTCAACATTTTTTTTTTAAATTTTATTTTATCAAAAATTATTTATTATAAATAAATGAAAAAAATGAATTAACGATATAAATTGACAATCACAATACAATCACAAATCACTTCAGACAAAACAAATAAAATAAAAAGCAAGCTACTTGGCAATTAATCGAAATCAAGAGCAAAATAACTTAATTCGTTCAAACGTTGACGTCAAAATTAGAGAAGTTTGCTATTCAGAGAACGAAAATAACCATTTCCAAGATTAGACTAATAGTATTAATCACAGTTTCATTAATCTAATCAGTCGGACAGGGTAATTCAGCGTCGCGCAAATGTTTCTCCACTGGAGTAAGAGATCTCTCTCATTAGTTGGTCAACTCATTCATAAGGCCACAGAATTCGCGGATTTGCTATTTGCCATTTGGAAAACGTCCAAAATTGAATCGCAACGCATTGTTCCTTTTTACCTCTCCCCTTTTTTCTTTACTCTAAATCCCCCACCCCATCTTTATTTTCAGTATTGCCATCCGTTCCCCAAATTCCCCTCTTCTTCATATATACTCATCGGCCCCAGAATGCACTTTACTAAATATAGATCTGCTATAGGTGCCATCATCATGAATCCCCCCCTATATATATATATAGATATATAATATGTATATATATTCTGATACAGCATCTTGGACTCTATTCACGAGACAGAATTTCACTGATGATTTTTAAAAGGGAGAAATCACCAAAGTCACACTCACCCCTATGTCTTAAATCTAAAAACTTGTATTCCCTACTTGCATCTGCTTATAATATTTTTTATTTCGTCGAATGATTAACGGATTACTCCCTAAAAAAGAAGAAAGTTTTCATTTGAAAATAACTTTTAATTATGTGAGAAATGAATGTCAAAAGGATTCTTTTTGCATTTAAAGAAGAAACTTTCTAATTTAAAAATTTTTTATTATCATTTTAATTAATACTTTTTTAATTTTTTTTTTCAACTTGTGGAAGATGAACTGGAAAAAAGTGTAATATCGCAACAGTTGAAAAAAAGTTTTCTTTAGATCAAACACATTTTTACACTTTTATATATATAATATATATAGGCATTATGCACATTGTTGTCCTAAATAGTTATATACTTGAAACTCACGACAAGAAAACAGAATGTCGCGTTCCTCGTGACTATATAAAATCTTGAACTGCATTTGAATGCCAAGAAAGATGCAAATTGAAAAGAACGGTGTAAAACGATTCACGAATAACAAGAAGCCTTTCACTATAAGTCGTACTTTGTTTTTAAGGACGCGTTTCACTACTGTGCGACGTCTTCTTTTCAATTCGTTCGAGTTATTATGTCATTATGTCAAGTAAATAGTCCACTCACGACAATTTATCATTGAAATCAATATATAAATTTTATAAAATACAAATGACTCAAAAAAAACGTTAACATAATAAATGTTATGCATTCAAATAGTAACTCAAACAATTAACATGATAAATTTTATTCTACCCCGAAAAATAAACATTCGATGAAATTTATTTTTTTTTTACTCACAAATCACTGACTCTTTTTTCTTGACACAAATTAGAAACTTATTATATACGTGCGATTCCAAGTGAGATTTTGACTTTTTCGGAGTAGGTTAACCGATTGCAATGAAACTTTGGAATTTTTTTATATATAGTAAGACTAATCTTTAACGTAAATTTCAGCCTAAAATATTTGTTAGTTTACGAGATTTCCAATAATAACAAAAAATTTAAAACTGCTATATCTTCCGTTCTAATAAACGGATTGAGGTCTACTTTTTTTTAAAATGTCAAGGAAAATGAGAGGAATAAATCTCTTTGAGAACATTTTTTTATAATTTTACAACTAAAAAAATTATTAAATAATAATTGAATAACTTTCGCGCGACTAACTAAAATTCAATCACTTAAACGCTAAAATGATCTTACCTGTGCGATTCCAAGTGAGATTTTGACTTTTTCGGAGTAGGTTAACCGATTGCAATGAAACTTTGGAATTTTGTTATATATAGTAAGACTAATCTTTAACGTAAATTTCAGCCTAAAATATTTGTTAGTTTACGAGATTTGCAATAATAACAAAAAATTTAAAACTGCTATATCTTCCGTTCTAATAAACGGATTGAGGTCTACTTTTTTTTAAAATGTCAAGGAAAATGAGAGGAATAAATCTCTTTCAGAACATTTTTTTATAATTTTACAACTAAAAAAATTATTAAATAATAATTGAATAACTTTCGCGCGACTAACTAAAATTCAATCACTTAAACGCTAAAATGATCTTACCTGTGTTTTCTTTAATGTTCCAAAGGATTTTTATTGTAAATGTAAGTTTAACTTAAGAAATTTTATTAATTTATTAGTATAAACAATTGAGATTTCTGCTAGTTGACGTGCAGACGACATTGCGCACGCAGCATTCTCACATAGCCAATTTAGTCCACGAATCACGTCAGTTGGCTATGTGAGAATGCTGCGTGCGCAATGTCGTCTGCACGTCAACTAGCAGAAATCTCAATTGTTTATACTAATAAATTAATAAAATTTCTTAAGTTAAACTTACATTTACAATAAAAATCCTTTGGAACATTAAAGAAAACACAGGTAAGATCATTTTAGCGTTTAAGTGATTGAATTTTAGTTAGTCGCGCGAAAGTTATTCAATTATTATTTAATAATTTTTTTAGTTGTAAAATTATAAAAAAATGTTCTGAAAGAGATTTATTCCTCTCATTTTCCTTGACATTTTAAAAAAAAGTAGACCTCAATCCGTTTATTAGAACGGAAGATATAGCAGTTTTAAATTTTTTGTTATTATTGCAAATCTCGTAAACTAACAAATATTTTAGGCTGAAATTTACGTTAAAGATTAGTCTTACTATATATAACAAAATTCCAAAGTTTCATTGCAATCGGTTAACCTACTCCGAAAAAGTCAAAATCTCACTTGGAATCGCACACCTGTATTTTCTTTAATGTTCCAAAGGATTTTTATTGTAAATGTAAGTTTGACTTAAGAAATTTTATTAATTTATTAGTATAAACAATTGAGATTTCTGCTAGTTGACGTGCAGACGACATTGCGCACGCAGCATTCTCCTGTAACCAACTGACGTGATTCGTGGACTAAATTGGCTATGTGAGAATGCTGCGTGCGCAATGTCGTCTGCACGTCAACTAGCAGAAATCTCAATTGTTTATACTAATAAATTAATAAAATTTCTTAAGTTAAACTTACATTTACAATAAAAATCCTTTGGAACATTAAAGAAAATACAGGTAAGATCATTTTAGCGTTTAAGTGATTGAATTTTAGTTAGTCGCGCGAAAGTTATTCAATTATTATTTAATAATTTTTTTAGTTGTAAAATTATAAAAAAATGTTCTGAAAGAGATTTATTCCTCTCATTTTCCTTGACATTTTAAAAAAAAGTAGACCTCAATCCGTTTATTAGAACGGAAGATATAGCAGTTTTAAATTTGTTGTTATTATTGCAAATCTCGTAAACTAACAAATATTTTAGGCTGAAATTTACGTTAAAGATTAGTCTTACTATATATAAAAAAATTCCAAAGTTTCATTGCAATCGGTTAACCTACTCCGAAAAAGTCAAAATCTCACTTGGAATCGCACATACATATAATTATATATTTATTATAATTTAAATTATTAAAAATTTGTGTTATTTTTTTGCTTTTTTGCAGATGTACAAAATCAAAAGAATACAGTGTTTGTTGGAGAAAAATTACACCTACGATGTTCGACAACACCAGAAACAGAATCAATAATTTGGTATAAAAACGGTGAAATTTTAATGGCAAAATTGCCAAGAATTCGTATTGTAAAACAAAGTTTAAAAATTCGATCATTACGAATGGAAGACTCAGGAAATTATAGTTGTCGATTTAATTCAAATCAACACATCAAATGGCGTAATATATCAATTGATGTGGAACCATATCAGAATGATGACTATCAAGACGACAAGGAAACACTTGGAAATATTCAAAGTGCCTTTACACCTGAAGAAGAAACCAATGAACTCTATATAGAAGCCAGAAGTAAGAACTTAAAATTTTATTAAATTTAGAAAATAGTCTTACGACTATTTTTGAGTTTTTTTTTAACAACATTTTTAAAAAGAATAATATATATATGTGTGTAAATTAAGGGGAAAAATATAAATTTATTTTCACAGGATTACCAGAAGCGCGGTCCCTTTACCTAGACACAGAATTTGAGAATTCAAAAATCGAATACGAACGAGATGAAAATGAGGACGTGGGTGAACATAATCAAACGGAACCCTTAAGTGCTCCGTCCTTCAATAAAAATGAGGAAATACAAGATTTAATTGTAAAACCGACGGGAAGTACATTGAGACTGAGATGTCCAGCTGTTGGCAATCCTCGGCCAAACATCACGTGGTGGAAAAATAACGATGAACCGACAAAACCTCTAGGAGTTAGTAGAAACAGATGGATTCTCAAGTTAGAGAACATTGCCTTACAAGATGCTGGAAACTATACCTGCCAAGTTTGTAACAGTTTTGGATGCATCAATCACGTCTTCAAAGTCGACATTATTGGTGAGTTTTACTGTCAAAGATAAAACGCACTATTCTTATAGAAAACTTCAAGCTATTTAATTGAAATTTATTTATTTTTTGTTTCTAAAATTATTAGATATTTGAAACTATATCCTATGCAGAATATTAATAAACAGGGTGTCAAGCAAGAAGTACAAAAAAAAATTCTCTGACCGCTGGACACCCTGATAAAATATTAGATAATTTTATTATTAATCAGTAATAAATTTTCAAATAATGCAATAAAAAAAAAAATATGTATTACATTTTTAGAAGCTACCGACAGTTTCTTGGAATCGGATTCTGATAATGAGAAATTGGACAATGAAAAAGATGGGAGTCCGGGTGAACATAATAAAACGCTACCGGAATGTCCGCCAATGTTCAATAAAAATGACGAAATGCATGCAACAGTCGTAAAACCCGCCGGAAGTATGTTGCGCCTGAGGTGCCCAGCTGTAGGCAATCCACAACCAAATATCACTTGGCTCAAGAATAACGAAGAGCCAAAGAGGACTTTAGGAATAATAATAACGGTCAAGTGGAGTCTGAGGCTCGAGGATGTTGTTATTCAAGACGGCGGAAATTATACCTGCATCGTTTGCAACAATCTCGGTTGCATCAATCACACTTTCAAAGTCGAAATCATTGGTGAGTCTCTCTTACATTATCTTATATAGGACGATTATGCTCTTGAATTACTTGTTATAGCAATTCATTCATGATCTTCAACTGTATAATTTTATCTGAATTACGATTTAATGTTTTTTTAAGTGATCCTTGCATTAGTATATTTATAAATTTTTTTTCAATAATAAAAATTTGCAATTAAGTCACTATAGTTATATAAATTACAATTCATTGTAAAATTCATTTATTAATGAAAAGAAAAAAGACTTTTTGCTCATTTTTATAATTTGACAAGTTATTTATCGAATGAAATTAAAATTTGCGTAATATAAAAATAGAACGATTTCCACACAAACCATACATCAACGAGGATTTCCCTAAAAATGTGACGGCCTTAATTCATACGAATGTTACATTTAAATGTCCAATTGTATCGGATCTCGAACCATATATGGAGTGGAGACGATTTTCAAATAAACCTAATGATCAAGAGAAAGCTCCAGAAGGGGAACAACTTGAGGTACATCCACTATTGAATACGGTGGAGGTTCCTAGAATCATGCTTATATTCTCTGTTTCTATAATTTATAATGGAGACGAATATATGAATTTTATTTCATTTTTCATGAAAGATTTCATCTTATATTTCATTTTCACTATCAATTTCATTCACAACTGTTGGTTATTGGACACACCTATATATAATATATATCTAAGCTTCATTGAAATAAAAAATTTTCAGAAATCCCTGCTGGCTCCAGAATCTGAAATATTCTCTTTACTGTACAAATATATATATATATATATATATATTTATTACATATTTATTAACTTGAAAATATTTCTACTTAGGACTTACAATTTTTTCAAATCTGCTTTTTTCCTCACTATGAATCGTTCTGGTGAAGGTTTTATTTGTATCAAAATCAATTTGTGAATGAAATAATAAAATGAATTTTAAATGTATATGAATGGTTGTCTAAAATTTTGAATTTTGAAATATTTATTGCATTGATTTTGATACAAACTATCATCTTTAAATCTCTCGTGTCTAATTTAACGAAACTGTCAATAAGTTTATGTACGTCTGTAAAAATTGGTGGTTGGGTATCTTTTTCTGTAGAAACTGTGAAACATCGACCAATCCTGACTGTAGCACCGGCAAATACAACGGTACTAATTGGAGGCAACGCTACTATGAACTGTCAAGTACTTTCGGATGCTCATCGTCATCTTGAGTGGTATCACGGCTACCATACTGATCTTGAAAACATCATCAAAACCAACCAAAGCTTACGGGTCGAGGTTAAGGTGGGCTTGCAGTTCTATCTGCATCTGCATGAAACTCGTGTGTTTTTACAGCTTTCCACTATATTTATACTACCAATTTGTAACAATCTAACTATTTTTTGCACGATACATATTATAGCTAACAAATACCATTTTATATTGAATTCTAAATTTTTTATTCCACTAACAGGGTGTCCAACAAATTTTGAAAAAATTCAAGACCTTTTCAAGGTTTTAAAGATTTGCTGCGGACATCCTGAGTTTTTAAAATCATTTACAAATATATTTTTCTTCTTTTGTGATACTATGTAACCTATTTTTAATTTTGTATAATTATTAACTATCCAAAATTAAGTAAAATATAAATTTAATAACTTGTTTTAATTTCAATTTGCATGTTGTTTTTTTTTTTGCAATATTACTCGTCGCCAATCAATATCAAAGAGCACTGAATGAACAGTAGAAAAAACTGATATTGATTTTAAATTTTGTTAATTCAAAAAAGTAATTTTAAAACTTATTCCTCTAAACATGAAAATTATTTATAGAGTGGTATGGACCACAATCCTGAAGTTTTGACTCTTATCAACGTGACTGAGAAGGATGAGGGTTGGTACACTTGTATAGCTCAAAACACACTCGGCGAAACTTTTAGCAGTGCTTATCTTCGAGTTGTAGATTGTACGTATAATTTTATTTAATTTTAGAAATAATAATTCAGTATTTCTCAAAACAAAAAGAAACGATCAAAATGAAAATTCAAGTAATTTCAAAGAACTTGCTTAAAAATATTATTATATCTTATTATTCGTTACACTAATATCGAGAGGAATCTAAATCTATAATACAATGTACTCTTTCTGATTAGCTTTGGAGGAAGAAATACGAGTTCCCTTGACCGCAAGATCACAATCGTTGCTGGTAAATGTTCTTGCTGCTGTGCTCATTGTATTCTTTGCATTTGGCGGTATTGTGGTTGGCTACATTTACCACAGACTAAAAAGAGAGAAAATGAAAAAATTATTGGCTATCGAGACAGCGAGAGCTGCTGTGGTTACACAATGGACGAAAAAGGTGATTGTGGAGAAGCAAAATCTCGTTAATGCCCAAAATGTTCAAGAACCACTTTTAATGCCGGTCGTAAAGATTGAGAAACAAAAATCAACAGTAACAACCGAGGACAGTAATGGAGGAAGTATTTCTGAATATGAACTTCCACTCGATAGTGCTTGGGAATTGCCACGAGAACATTTGGCTCTCGGTAATACCCTTGGAGAAGGTGCTTTCGGTAAAGTCGTTAGGGCTCAAACAAATACCGGAAAACCTGGAATTCCCAATATTGTAGCTGTTAAAATGCTCAAAGGTAAATGTCAAATATTTGTGTTAAAATTTTTTTTTTTTTTATTAAATCTCCCCTCAAAAAAAAGTTGAAAATTTCAAATGAATTTTGTATTTTTCCAGAGGGTCATACAGACTCGGAAATGATGGATCTTGTTTCGGAGATGGAAATGATGAAGATGATCGGCAAACACGTAAATATAATAAATCTATTGGGAGCTTGTACACAAGGTGGACCACTTTATGTAGTCGTTGAATTTGCGCCACATGGAAATCTTCGAGATTTCTTGCGCGATCACAGGCCCTCATCAGGATATGAGCTGACGATAAATGATGATCAGAAAGAAAAGAAGACATTAACCCAAAAAGATTTGGTTTCATTTGCCTATCAAGTGGCACGAGGAATGGAGTACCTGGCAAGTCGAAGGTGTATTCACAGAGATTTGGCAGCGAGAAACGTTCTTGTCAGTGAAGAATATGTCTTAAAGATCGCTGACTTCGGTCTTGCTCGAGATATTCATTGTCACGACTACTACCGAAAGACGACGGATGGCAGGTTGCCAGTCAAATGGATGGCACCAGAAGCTCTCTTTCATCGAATCTATACCACACAGTCCGACGTGTAAGTATACAAATTACTTTATTCAGAATTAGATCTGACGTATTCAACACGCAGACACTCTAGCTCATTCTCTCTCTCTCTCTCTTGTATCTTTCTCTGCCTTTATTTTCAAGTACTAAGGAAAATAATACTTGGCAAATAGACATTATAATAAATCATCTTCAGTTAAGAGATACGTTGCCTGATGTAATAAAATAATTCAAAATTCAATTTACTCCTTCCAAGAAGTAATAAGGAAACAAATAAATTAAAGAAACTCAATACGAACATTGACGAGTCTTGTATGTAATTAGTAATTATTTGATTTATAGAAAAGTTGAGTCTTGTGAAATTATATTCTTTTCAAAAGCTTAATGTTGATTAGCAACATTAAAAACGGATTTTATATGGTAATATGTGAAATAAAATTTAAAATAATATTTGTATTTTCAGCTGGTCGTACGGAATTCTGCTGTGGGAAATAATGACACTTGGAGGTACGCCCTATCCCTCAGTACCGTCAGTAGAAAAATTGTTCCAGTTGCTAAGGACGGGTCACCGAATGGAAAAGCCACCCTGCTGTTCAATTGAAATGTAAGATTTAAAATCAAATATCAAATACGAACGAAAATTGACAATCGAGCATCAAGATCATCATTTTATCTTGTTAATCGAGCGAAACAACAAAGAAAATTAATTTCCTAATTACAAATTCTAAAATCTTGAAATGAACTAAATGTCGACATTTTTTCTTGAATTTTGATTTTCACTGTTTTTTTTTTTTTTGCTAACTGTTTCGTCAATACAAAGTAAAATCGAAAATACACTAACAAGATACACTTAATATACGATAGAATACCTAATTTCTCTAATTTTAAATAATAGTTAAAAATCAAATTGTTTTTTTTTAGATATATGCTCATGAGGGATTGTTGGAGTTACCAACCAAATGAGAGACCAATGTTTGGAGAATTGGTTGAAGATCTCGATAGGATATTAACCATAACTACAAACGAGGTAAATAATGCAAATAGAATCAAAATTTCCCAAATATTATTTTCCAAAATTTTTATTTCATCAAATTGTTATTTAACCAAATTTACCAATGACCGAAAGTTCAGTTGATCAAATAGACACTAAACTTAAACTTTATTTTAGTGTGAATTAAATATTTAATTTTTGAAATTCTCACTAAATAAAAGTTCAGGACAAATAAAGATTCAATGAAATAGAAATTCTGACATTTAAAATTTTAACGTCATTTCAGTTAAGTGGCAATTAAACAAATCTCTCTAATTATATTTTAGGAATACCTCGATTTGGGGTTACCACAACTCGATACACCTCCATCCAGTCAAGAATCAAGCGAAGCAGAAGATGATGACGACGACGATGACGATGGCCAAGAAACATTTTCCTACTTGTTGTGAGATTTATAAAAGTCGAATTCAGAAAAAATAATATTAAAAATCTTCGTAAATAGTTTAAAATCGTTAAACCTTCATTATCACAACAAAAGTAAAATTGAGAAACGATAAAACTATATTGAAAAAAAAGAAGATTGAAAATCAATAATTAGCCATCAAATTTTAATTTTGGAATGTTAAGATATTATGCTAATTAATTAATCGACTGATATAATGAACACGCCAAATAATACAAATCAGTATTGTCTATTAGCGCGTACTTTATTATAAATTTAAGAACAAATTGCGAATATGAGAATAATAATATTGTATTGGGGGAATGAAAAATTTTTTTTCAAAGAGAAAATTGAACATTTTGTAAATTTTTTACTTAAATATTGTGCCATGACTAAGTGCCTTGATAATAATAAAAGGCAATACCGACATACTTTATAATTTAAAAAATCTATATTATGTATATCGGCAATTTTTTATCGTAAAATTAAATTTTGTAAAATTTTTTTAAAAAAATTAAATCAATTATTTTTCTATTAAAAATTTTGGTAAAATTTTAAATTAAATCAGAAAATTTGGAGTGGAATCTAATTTTATGTAATCGCAGTTACCATTCCTTTACCTCGTGTGTTATCGAAATTTATTGTAAATTTTAAAAATTCACATGACAATGAAATACTGCGTTTTCACCTAGTCAATTTATACTCAAGATTTTTGTACATTGATAGATTATAATGTTTATATAGAAAATGTGAGAGTTCTACGTGAGTAGATATAGTTGTTTATTGTTAATTTTTGTGCATTGTTTCCGTTGTTGTGAAATTAAAAAAGATGATGTAATTAGAGAAGCGATTGTTAAAGATAGGTACTTCAGTATATGAAATTTGTAAATATCCCGTCCCTATGAATGGAAATATCTTGCTTCAAGACAGCAAACATGGCCAAAAAGTTACGGAAACGTATTCAGTCTGTATAAACAGTGAATCACATCAAAAGTCGTGTTTAATATGTAATTTAAAAAAATTATTTATTATTATGCATAATCTTTTAATTAATCGTTTTTTAATTCTTTTTTTAAATATTTAATTTACATAACAACTTGAAATTTGTCTTTAATTATAAACTTGAATTTGTTTCTATAAACAAATATGAATTCGCATTTGAAGACAAATTTGAAGTTGTTAAAAAAAATCCATGGAAAAATTTTACTATTAAACCGACTATTAAATAACCGCATGTAGAACTTATGTGTAAGAATTTTATTTAAAAAAAATGTATAAATAGATATGTAAGCAAAACGATTAGAGATAGATATTTATTCTGTGTAAAATAATTATTGATTATTTGTATTATGAACCTTTTTTACCCATAATTTAAGAGATTATTGTTGCAAGACAGTCGATCATGAAGAGTGAATCTTCTTTCGACATTCTTATATTCTTAAACAAAGAAATAAAAATTTTGTATAATTGTTTATTCCATTTGTATTATGTATTTGACGAAATGAAAAAAAAAATTAAGGCTAGTTTAAACAATATTGTAAATAGTAATAATAATATTTTGTGCATTATTTAAAAAGCAACCAAGGAGTAATCAATATTCAGAAAGTAGCCAGTAAACCAGCATTTATGTGCGTAATATGTAAAAGAGAACATTGTCCATGAAAAATGATTGTAATCCAAGTTCAAACTACAATAAACCAAATTTATACTCAATTTGTGTATTTTCATGTACCCTATAATCCTATAATATAAACCTGATAATTAAAAGATAATTCAAATAGTCAATTTTCCCATTATTCAAACGATTTTGAATAAAATATAAGGCTAACCCATGTCAGTACTGAACATTACGCTTTTATAGTGAGCACCCTGAGAGTTAATAAAATTTTAAATAAATAAATAAAATGAAAATTATTAGTTTACTCACCACCTTCTTGCTTGCACTTTTGCGGAGATCGGGAATCACACTAACTTATTTGAAAAAAAAACACAAGCTGCTCTTCTTCACCAACATCCATCCTGTTCTTCAGGTATTACAGCTGAAACATGGGCTAAAAAATAAAATTATGCCCTTAATTATTTTCTAAATAAATCAGATGATGTTTATTATTAAATAAGAAGAATATTATAGATTGACAAAAATGATACATATATTATAAACAATAGTCATGTTTCAGATTTTTCTTATTTTTTGTTTATAAGTAGTATTTTAGGTCTTAAATAACTGTACCAAATATGAATTAGATATTTTTATCATTTTTCAAGACATAATTGCAAATTTATTGTCATTTTTTTTCACTTGATTACAATTCCTTTATTTTTCAAAATTTTAAAAATATGTTAAAACCTTTTCTCCGTCAAAAAACATTGAAGTTTAATAAAAAAAAAAGAAATTAAAAAATATCAATTTTTTAAATAATTTATTTATAAATTAATGTTTATTTTCAATATTTAAATATGTGCACCATCTTGAAAATTTCATTGTTTCTTAATGAGGTCGCAAAGTTTATAAAAATATTTTCTTAGAACACTAGCGCCATATGCTGTTCATGTGTTCATTTTCCATGTTCATTTATTCCATTTAAAATGAAAAATAATATTATTTAATTTTAAATATAATTTTACCCTAAATTTCAATATTGTAATTTATTATTATTTATTTTGCTTTATTAACAATACAATTTTTTGTTGCATGTCAAATTTCTTAAATTATTTTTCATTTATAAAAAACATTGTGAGTCAGTTCATTATATTTCGCCGAAAGTCGTTGCGGCATATTTTTAGAAAAATCACATACTTTGTAATAATGATTTTTTAAAATCCGTACAACATATTTTTGGGCAATACCTTTTGGAATTATATGTATTTGACTAAATTTTAATTTTCTATTTGAGTTACACGGAAAAAAGCTTATTTTGACAGTAGTAGAAATTTAAGATAAAAGCACGGAAGTAATTTAGATATAATATATATGTTTTAACATATTGATATTTATGTTAAAAATAGTCTATTTATAACTTATTAAAATTAATTGATTATTGTGTAAAAAGATGAAAATCATTAGGTGAAAATTGGTTTGTAAACTTATCTGTCAAATGAAAAAATTTATCATATTTCAATTAGAATTTCTTTGAAAGTCAATATTAATTTAAATATATATATATTTACAAACTTTCGAAACAATTCTAATTGAAATATGATAAGCAGTCTCTCTTAATTTGAATCAGTCAAATTTTCACTGTTTTGAAATCAGTAACCGACTTCTGGCTGCTAAATCAGTGAAATTTCACTGATCAGGTTAATATTTTATTTAAAATTAATTTGTTTAAACAAAATGTTACAAAGAAATGGAAAAAAATAAAAAATACAAAAAATAGATGTCGCCATTCGATTCTACGGGAAAATTTTCTGCAGGAATATTTATTACATGCCAATTTTTTTTTTTAGTAATTTTTCCCGCAGAATACTAGAATGGCACCATCTATTTTTTGTAATTTTATTTTTTTTCCATTTGTTTATAACAATTTGTTGAAACAAATTAAAATTCTTAAATTTATATATATATATTAAATATATAAATTAAATATATAATATATAAATTATAAATTAAATATATAAGTTTGGGGGATGGGGGATGATGTGTTACAAATATATATAAATACTTATAAAAATAGTCAATTATTTGGAAGTGCGAGCGGCGAGCTAATCAGAAAAATATTCATAACTTTTTAAATATCGGAGGTTACACATTTTTCTTTTTTTTAATTTACTCGTTAGAGTTTTGCGCATCAAATCAGCCTAGTCTTTTTATTGTCTGACATTGAGAACACATTCTAAATTGCAATTGTTTAAAAAATTGTTAATAACAATTAAAAGTTTTAATTTTACAACAAGCGCTTTGATTAGACATGAAAATATAGACTTTAAGCTTTAATTTAAAACAAAGTTCACTCAATTATCTTTATTCGTTTCCGAGTAATAGCAAAAAGAAAATTTCATTACCCAAAACTTTCACCCCCCCCCCCTCATTTCCAAAATAAATAATATTTTTGAAAAATATTTTAGGGGGTAAAAGTATATGCATATACCTATTAAAAAATGTAAATAACTTAAAAATCGGAGACAAAAATTTTGCAATTGGCTGTTTTCACTTATTTTCGCTCTATTAGTTTATAAATTTATAATCAGCAATGAGAAACAATATTGTGTAGAGCTCTTATTTCATTTAATCCCAAATTTAGTGATCCAAACAAAAAATTCTTGGAACAATTAGAATTAAGCAGAATGTAATCTTGCTCTTTTAATGATAGTGCAAGTGAATTTAAGGAATTTCGAGTTACATTAACTTTTGAAGCTATGGTTCCAGTGACATGTACATCATCTATCCAAAAAAAAGGTTCTTTTTGAGCTTGACGATATAATGAAAATGCAGTATAAGGAGAATAAAAAATATAAGGGCCTAGGCAATATTTTGGATAATAACTTCCTGTATATTCTTTCAAAGATACTCCCCATTTTGAACTATTGGATCTTATTACTGGCGCCTTTGTTAGGGGATTACAAAGTATAAGATGCTTGCTTCTCCTAGGAGGTAATTTATGCTTTAAGTAGTCCAATACTGCAGTGATATGCACATATACATCATCATCCAATTTTAATATATATTTGGCATCTAAAAAAAATAAAAGGATTAATATTACAAAAGTTCTTATTTATTTTATTTCTTTCAAGAAAGCTTCCAAGTATGACAAATGGCAAAATTGGAGCACATGAATATTTCCCAACTAATTTGGTCAAATTCAACTCTAAAAAGTAATCATGTATTTTTTCTTAAATTAAACATTAATTTTACTTACAAGAACAATAATATATGGCCCACTTTAGAGCCATAATATGTTTATAAGTCAAATTTCTATATGTATCAAGAAAATTCCCTTGGATTAAGTCACCAAATTTAAAATTTTCATTTACAAGCTCTGTTTGATATTTTTCAGACCATCCAACAAGGAAAACAGTAATTACAGATGATGATACTTGACCCCACGTTTCACGAATAGTATTTCTTCTTTTCAAGTTTTGTGGAGCAGAATGAACCATCACTAATAGATACGGTTGAGTTCTGCTGCATGTATCGTGATTTAAAATAAAGTTGAAATTTTTCAAATCAATCAAAGTACTTTCATCGCCAGCCGGAAGTTCATTTATGTTAAACGGCAATAGATTTGGAATTTGATAAATGTTGATAAACAAGAAAAAAGCGTATCCAGTGACCGCGAGAGCGAGCACAAAGATAAAGTACCTTTTATAGATCATAATGTTGAAACTAATTCAATATATTTATTCCAGCTATAGTAGAACACAAAAATATTTATAATTAGGTAATATCTCTATATTTTAAAAATATATCATTACGCTTAAATAATACAAAAAATATAGCTTTAGATATATAGTTAATCTTACATTATAAAGTTAAACATAACTTCAAAATTTAAGAGCATAGGTCAAGAGGCGAACGTAAATTCAAAATTAAAAATCAAATGGCAAAGTCACACACTGAAAAATACCATAGAATAATTATTCACTTGTCTAAAAATTGACAAATAAATTTTTAAAAAAATGAAATTTATTAAAAATAATTAAAATGCATCATTCTAAAATAAACTGACTATTTTACAGAAATTCAAGTTACACTGACAATTGTCACTATAATAAAATGTCAAAACGATTTATGAATAAATTAGATTTTCATCCATAAAAAAGATGATGCTTTGGAGGTTTTATCAAACAATGAAAACTCGTATCAGCGGAAAAAACAAATACAACAATTAATACTCTATAACTATAACTATACTAACCGCAGCGCCTCCGAGACTTCTCATATGCAACACGTTTGTTTACTAATTCAGAGAAAATAATTAAATTAATGTAAGACAAAATTAATTTTTTAACTCATGAAAATAAAAAAAAACTACACATAACCTGACAAATTTAAACAGTAATAGTTCTCCTAAATCTGTATCTTCATCGAAGATAGTATAAAAATCTTACTGATAAATTATATCAGTAACAGATAACAATTCAAAAAAATTATATGGGTCGTTCCACGTAAAAAATAGACATATATACCTAGAAATGTTGAGAACATTTTGCAAAAAATTCTTGAAAAATTATTATTAGCATACATGATATAAAATTTATAATAATTTTTAAAGCATATACATATTGAATATATATATATATATATATTGCCTTTTACCTATATATACTTTTGGTAGAAATGTTGTTGATTCAATAACATATTATTTTAGTGTTACTTACCCATTATTCACATCAAATTTTACACTTTACAAAATTTCAACTCAATGACAATCTATTTAGAATACAACAAGAAACTTAACTGATAAATTAACATTGCGGTGACCACACCACGTCTTCTAATAATCGAACTATCCATGCTCAATAAAAACTTTAAACGTTTTTTAATAACACTGCTGCACGATGTTGAAATCTGCCACACTGGCTGACGAATTTTTGTTTTTTAATATATACGAATGTTATTTATGAAGTACACTTAAATTATTACCAAATAAACATATATATATATAAGAAGTTATAACCCGACAGCTACACGAAAAATCTTTCTAGTATAAGATTAGGGGTGCTAAAATAGTATATTGTACATCTAGGGAGGAAAGTAATTGATTTCCACGAGTGTGAATTGTCAGTTAAAGGTATAGCATACAATGCACTAATATAATATTGTTTAAGAATCATAAAAAAATTCTATATAGACAATAGCTTATTTCTTGCGTATGTAAGAATACTTTTTTTCTAGAAAATCAATTAGAATATTTCATTTTTTAACTGACACAGATTTATTTCTCTCATTTTTGTATAAAAAAATTTATTTTCTTCAACTTGTTAAAACAAGGAGGGGGTCCTTTATATTTATTTCATAAACATTTTGCTTCCTCATTGTGTGAAGCAAAAAATTTGCTTCCTCGTGGAGGAAGCAATGAATTTCTCCAATTCAATTGATTGATTTAAAACATTTCGAGTTGAAAACTTGTTTTAATTTCTTAAATTTTTTGAAAAATTAAGAAAATTTTAATTAATTTTGGGTGTAACGTATATGAGAATCGATTCGTTTCAATGCAAGAAATACAATTATTTTATTTATTAACTTGAATTTAAATTAACACAAATTTTTTTTGGCTAAAATATGAATTTTTGATTTTTTAATTTTCATTAATTCTTAAAATTTAAATCAAATCTATATTTATATATATATATACCAAACGATTCGTCTTGACGTAAGAATGACGATTTTATTATATATACCACCTTAAATTTTTCTATTCAACAATTTTTTTAATTAAAACAAAATTTTTGGAAAAAAGACGATAAAATTTTTTTTTTGGGTATTTTTAAAAATCCTCTCGTCATTTTTCAGAGATTAATATGATAAATAACCATACCAAATTTTACCCAAATCCATTAAAACCTGTTAATGATATCGTGTTCACAAAAAAGATTCACCCACCCGCCCACCCACCCACACACACACACATACACACACATAAATACATCCGGACAATTGAGCAGGATCTCATATAACATGTTTCTATATAGAGGAAAATTTGTATTGACCATTTTTAAAAATTTTATAAACGAAAGGACTACCCAATAAACGAAAAAAACCATAAATTTTGGGACTTTTTTTATGGTTTTCACCATAAAAATCAAATTTTTGGGTGTATTGTCACTATGATTTTCGTAATCAGCGCATCAAAATACATAAAAGTACGTAGTATAAAAAAAAACCAAAAATATTTTTAAAAAATTCAAAAATTTTTGAAAAATTCCGAAAATATAGTAAATATCGTTTGTCTATTATCGGGCTAGGCTTAAAAGTTTCGTTAAAAGAAGTAGTTTTTTGGAAAAAATTTTGAAAAAAATCAATCAGTACGTCAAATGAGAAAAATGACTTTTTATCATTAAAACTCAAAAATTTGATAGTAATATCGTTTAAAAAAATTTTTTGAATTTTTTTTTTAAAGTACGTTTAAAAACGCACATTTTGAAAAAAAAGACTTTTAAAATTGATTCATTTTTAAGGAAGTTATGAGCATTAAAAAATTAAAAGTCATGAAAATTCTCCAATTTTCAAAATTCCATAACTCGAAAACGGCTTGCTAAAAGAATTTGAAAAAATTCATGGAAGCTAGTCTCAATTAGTACTAAAAGAAAAAACAAATTTCAAAAAAATCGGAGATGCAATTGCAGATGGACTTACACTTTGGCGTGGAATACATCATATATATAATGATATAAATTGTAAAGACTTACCGATGAGTGATGACAGCGGCGAAAATGTGAAGACAACGATAAATCAGCCACTTTTTCTCTTCAATAATATCGATCTTTCATCTTTCGAAACTGAAGAAAATTTAACTGAAAAAAATATACATTTAAAAATTAATATATTAAAACTCACTTGAGCATACATATATAAGTTTTTATAAAATTTTAAACAGTTTGACACATTGAAAAAATATTTTTCACGTTAAAAAAAATTGTTTTTATATTTAAAAAATTAATTTCTATATTTTAAATAATTATTACATTATTAAACAAAAATAATAGAATTTAAATATAAGAAACATAAAAAATTTATATAGAAATAAAAGAGAAAGATGAAATATTTTTATTTATTAATTTTCCTTGTCGTTTATTTCGGAATAAATGCAAAAATGAAATTTGTTTATAAGTGCTATCATTAAATGATAAATGATAATTAAATTTAAAGAACAAAATCTAATAAAAAAAAATAACGAAAAAAAACCTATTCACATTTCAAAAACATTTTTTAAAAAAATATTTTGCTAAAATTAATTTAAATATTATTACTAAAAATTTAATAATCAATTTATGTAAAAGCTTGAAGTTTGTTTAAAATCGAGACCTATTAACTATGACATAGATAAAATAAATATTGTTTATAAGAATTTGTCCTGACATAATGTAATAAAAATTATTTTAATTCTTTTATAATTTAACAATTATAAATTTCATGCGTAACTATATTGATTTTTTCCACAACATTCCATGGGATATCATCTTTATAAATTCCTACGGCACGTTGTCATGGAATCGAGTCAACAAATTAAAGTAGTATTAGCATTCAGTTACTCTAAAGTGATTTGATTTTTTCAACAAGAAGTTAAATGATTATTATAACCATTTTGTGTCAGAAAATAAATATTGTGTGTAAAATAAAAGTTATGTGAATAAAGTAATGGAAAAATTCAAAAAAAATTTAATTCTAGTTTCATAAAAGTGTAATAGTATTTTTTGTATTCAATTATAAACATTTAAAAACAAAGTGTTTTACTATTGATTAAAAATTAATTTTTAAAAGAAAATAGTGTTTAAAATATCATTTAATACCAATCATGATGGAAATGGAGATGAATGCAGAATTAGAGAGGGTATGTAAAAGAATATTTTACATAAAAAAAACATAGGTTAAAAAAATTGTGAAAAAAATTTTTTATTACCAACAAAACATTAGGTTTACATTTGTGCAATCAAACTTTTTTTATTGACTCAATAAAATTTTTTGTATAATCTTAACCAAATTTTGATTAAAATTCAAATAATATTTAGTTATCCAAATTAAAATTTAAAAATATTTAAACTTTATTTAATTTTAATTAAAAAGCCAAAAATTTTATTTTACTCACTAAAAAAGGTCTGATTGCACAAATATTTTGTTGACAAAAACTAAATAATTTTATCTTTGTAAGACTTCAGAAAAATGCAATTTTTTTCATTTAAAGGATGGTGGAAGTGAAGATGCAGAGCAATCTTCAGAAGGGAGTTCTGCAGGAACAGTTTTCTGCACTTTAGAACAAGACTATGCAAAAGTAAAATTTAGTTAAATTCACATTTATGTATATAAACATATTGATTTTATTTTCAATATTTTTATATTATTTAATAACATAATTTAAATAAAATTATATTTAAAAATTTATAGTTAATAAAGGAAATGAAGAACAATGAAGCACTTGCTCCGTATGAGGAAGAATATACCAGACTTTTTGAATCTTTGTATAAAGCCCATAGAAATGAAAATGAATTAACTGAAAAATGCAAATTATTACAAGTAAGATTTTAAACAGGTGTATAATTTATTTGTATTTATATAAATTTAATTAAATTTATATTTTGTTATAGGAAGAAGTAATGCAATATGTTGAAAAAATTGACGAACTTGAAACAAATTTAGAAACTAATGAACAAACTATAGCAAAATTAAAACATGAAATTACCAATTCAATGAAACTTGCAGATGCTGCGCATTCTAGAGAACAAAATGCTCAAGAAATAATTGAAAATTTACGAGGAGCATTAAAAAAATTTAAACAGGAACTTAATCAAAAAGATAAATTAGCTTCAGAACAAGTGTAATTATATTACAAAAATTTAACGATCACAACTAGTAAAAAAAAAGAAAAAATATTTTTAAAATTATATTATTATCAAAATTTTTTCTAACTCTTTCCAATGAAAAAACAAAATTCAAAAATTTTATTTCCGATGGTTTTTGAATTTTACTAGTTATTGATAAAATTTCAGATGTAATGAAACCATTGTCATTTATTTATTTATTAATTTTATAGTGATTGTATCTTAAAATAATATTTATCATTTTAATATTTAATTTAGGACATTAATGAATAAACAAAAAGAAGGTTTGGGTTCTGATCGAGATAAATTTATAGGAGAAATAGAAACATTGCGAGAACGATTGAAAGCAACAACCAAATATAATAGCGAACTTGAAATAAGAAGTGCAGAGCTAGAAAATCAAAGGACCGAAATCCAAGAAAATTTAGACGCACAATTAAATGAATACTCCAAAGAACATCGTTTACGTGAAAAAGCAGAAGAGACGATTCAACAGTTACAAGAGGAAATAAAAAAAAACATCAATGAACTGCAGGTAAAAAAGGAAAACCGGTAATTGTTAACAATTTTTTTTAAATTCTAATATGTCTGATAAATAATAAATAATTTTACATAAAATTTTAAAATTATAACAGACAATAAATTCATCCTTGAAAACTATGGGATCTCATGCTACAAAACTGGAATTTCAATTAAAAGATCAAAAACTTACAAACGAAACCTTACAACAAGAAATTAATAAATTATTATCAAAGAAACTGAACATACAGTTAGAATTTGATAACTTAAACATTCAGTATCAAAATAATGAAAAAAAATTATCAGAATGTGAACGAAAAGTCGATATGATGAAAATAGAAATACAGAAGTAATTGAATAATATACAAACATGTCCACTATTTAAAAAAAAACATTAAATTATTATTGTTTAAAATTTACATTAACTATGAATAATTTATTTCAACTTTTTTTAAAAATTTTAGAATGCGTGATGAAAATTCAAAATTAAAAACAGAAAAAGAACAATTGTCTAAAAAAATTATGAAAGAAGAAAATCTAAAATCTACTGCTCAAGACAATTTAAAACAAACGCAAATTAGTCACAGAAATGCCGAATTAGAAATTTATTCATTACAAAAATTTCTTGAAGAGGAAAAAAAAATAAAAGAAAAAATTATTCGTGAAAAAGAAGCAAATGGAAAAGCTGTAGCTGGCTTAAAGGAAACCATTAAATCTTTACAAATGGAAGCTAATATCAATGAGCAGATACGTAGAAAAATGGAATTAACTATTGAAGATGCTGGACAGAATGCTGAAGAATTGAAAAGAAAAATTTTTCATCTTGAAAAAGAAAGAGATAAGTACTGTCATGAGGCTCAAGAACTTTTTGATAAGGTATACAGAAATAAATTTCAAATTAATAATTCATAAATAAAATTATATACAATTATTTTTTTTCTGTTTGCAAATAAAATTTTTTTTTTTTTCAAGAAAAAGTTATATTGTATTTATTAAAGTAATTTTTAAAATAGGTAGAAGATCATATTGATGATTTAAAAATTAAAAGAACAGAGATATCTGATTTTAAGAAACGTCTTTATGAAGCAGAATCGAAATTGCGACAACAACATAATGCTTATGAAACATTAAAAGGCGAAAATAATTCACAGTTGACAAATTTATCAGAAGCAAAAGATGAAATAAGAGAATTGAAGCAAAAATTAAAAGTAACAAATAAACAAGTAGAACAATTGAAAGAAGAAGTTGCCCTAAAGGAAGTCAGTATAACCAATGGAGAGTTTTGTACGTTATATGTAAAAGAAAAAGTAGAAACAAAATATATAAATATGCGTAAAAAAACATTTCTCATTTAATTTTAATGTAATTTTCTTTTAGTGTTGGGAAAAGCAGAAAAAGAAAAAGAAGAATTAAAGTCTGAATTGCAAAAATCTTTTAAAACAGTGTCAATGTTAAAACAAAAAATTGAAGAAATGAAAAATGAAGAAAAACATTTGAGACTAAATGAAAATCATGCACAAATGAAAATAAATCGACAGAAAAAAGAAAATGACGCTGTACTTGTTGAACGTGACGTTCTTGGTACACAATTAGTAAGACGAAATGATGAAATTTCTCTTCTTTATAATAAAATTAGAGTATTGGAAGATATTATTCAACGAGGAGAAAATCAATATGCCCAAAGATTAGAAGAAATAAGATTGTTTAAATTAGAAGTACAAAAATTAAGAAGCGAAAAAATTCTTTTAATTAAAAACATAAATAATACGAGCGATCTAAAATTTGAACTCGTTCATATGCAACAAGATTTAACAAGAGAAAAATTAAAAGTCACTGCATTAGAAGAAGAACTTCAAAATCCATCGAATATTCACAGGTGGAGAAAATTAGAGGTACATTTTGCAAATATATTAAGAAAAAAAATATATTTTAATAAATTTAAGTGTAAAATACATTTCACTTGTGTGAGTCTTCAAATTTAGTATTAAAGTTTTTATTGGTTTAAGGGAACTGATCCTGATATGTTTGAGATGTTAAAAAAAGTTCAAATTTTACAAAAACGTATTATAAAAATGTCTTCACAATTAATTGTTAAAGAAAAAACAATTGAATATACAGAAAAACTTTATACAAACGTACGAGAAATACTCGGAAAGCAACCAGGATCTGAAATGACGGAAATGTTATCGAAAACTCGAAAAGCTCTCATAGATAGAAGCAACAAGATAAAAGTAAGATTTTATTATTAATTAATTACAAATAAAAAATAAATTTTTTTAAATTAAATAATGCAAACATTCCGATGGTATATTGAGAATTAATTTTATAATTTACTATCGGACTATCTGCATGATTTGAAATGGTTCCAAAAGAATATGTTTCATATTTGACAAAAATTTGTTTTTAAATTTTTAATTTAATATTAATAACCTTTTATCATATTATCAGTGCATACTTGCAGAAAGAAACATGTTTGAGTCCTTAACAAATGAGCAAAAATTTGAAAATGAAAGATTAAACAAAGAATTAAATGATTTAAAAATAAAATATTATAGTTTAAAGAATAATGGACAAAATTATAATAAAAACAAGCCAACTGCTGTAGCTATTTTACCATCGATATCATTTTCAGAGAAAAAAGTTTATGGCGGAGGTTTTAATATGACTGTGACTAAATCACAAATTAATAAATAAAATTATATATATATATATATATATATATAACGATTCAAGAATGTAAATATAAATAAAATGTAAAAAGTCTTTCTAATTAAAAAAAAATCTAATAACTATAATATTGTTTAATTTTATTTAAAATTAATTTTTTCTAAATAATATAATAATAATAATGATTTACCATTGTTGTCAATTGCCTGGATCCATATGCGGTGCTTTTCAAATCATTAGATCCCGGAGATCCCTCCTCTAGATTAGAATTCAAAAATCCACATAATAAAAATTTGAGAAAATAATCTTTTGCAAGGAGACCGGGTTCTAAAGACATGAATCACTCTATAAGCTAACAAATTATCTGGATTCTCCATAATTATGTATAGTGTCCACAAAAAGAAGAAGCTGAAAAATATATATATTTATACAAATCAATTATTACTAATTAGCTCATTAAAATATTAACACATTACACAAAATGAAGTGAGAAAAGTCTATAAATTTTTTGGCATAAATATTTACTTGTTGCCATCTTGAAAAAATATCATTGTTGTAAAATTAATCAGAACTTTTTGGGTTATGCAGAACATGTTTTCAATATAATTTATAACCTAAAAATATTACCACGTGTATAAAATTCCTTAAAAGTAACACAATATGCAAAAATTTAAAGAAATTCCCAGCAATTTCATATCAAACTTTGATAACACGTTTTTTTCCAACAAAACGCACAGAACAATGCGAAAAGGACTATATTACATATTTTAACGATTATTAAACATATATTATTTATAGTTTTAAAAAATACCTTATCTCTCAACACAAGAAATAGTTAAAACAAAATAAATTTTAGTAAAATCAACACAATTTACCAATTTTAGAAGAGAAATATGTACATCGAACAATTTACACAGACAATTTTTGACGGGAAAATACAGGTAAGAAAAGAAGTGCTCTGATTGGTTAACTGTAATAATGGCGGTAAAAGTGTCTAATTTTGTAAACAAGTGGTTAACTGAGAGTAGATATTAATTTTACCGGCGCGTTTTAACTTACACAGTCCAAATGTAGATGGCGACAAAAGAAAATTCCCCAATTTTCATTTTAGATACAAGGGAATTTGGAATTTTTTTATTGGATAGAATCATAAAGGGCTAATCAACATGCATGTTATGTCAGTTTGTATATTATAATCAACGCATATGCGTCTACATTGTAACTAGTTTCTAGTATTGCTTATATATTATTAATGTGTACGTTGCAAGATAGAAATAACGAATGAGAATTGTCTCATTTTTTTACGTGAAATTTGGAATCATTAAAAATAATGACCAAGCCGCAATTTATAGCGACTGATGCAATCGACGGTATTTGGCCCTTTTTACTCAGTGTAAGTTCAACTTCCTTTTAAATATCAAATATATGCAGTGATAATAATAATGTTTTTATATAAAAGGGTTTAACAATAGAAATTTTTAATGAAAAGAAAAGTTTTTATGACAATTTATATATTTCACCGGTTTCGTATACTACTCCAATCAAAGAGCTCATAATTCAACAATATATATGTATAATATAAATATACATGTTATCGTACACCCAATTCGCAGTGAGATTGCACATTATTAAAAACTTTAGCTGTAGGTAATGAAAACATCGTAAGTAGCCTTAATGGTGTCACACTACATTTAAACAAATACCGGGTAGAGTTTTACCTTGAACGTACATTAATTAAATGTATACATATATCAGTAATGTATGACAGCAATGTCTATTCTGTAAAATATATATGAAAATTATAAAATTAAATTGAACGAATAATCGATAGGATTTTATATAGTTCATTACGTAATTATAAAGGCGCTTTATACGATTTTATATATAGCTGTATTATTTTGCTAACATTAATATTTTAAATATTATTTTTTTGAAATAATTTTTTTAAATTTCCATAATTTTAAAAAACTGTGTTTTACATATCAAGTTAATTTAATTTATTAAAAATTATCTTTGCCAATATCATTGTTTTCTTATTTGCGATTGTAACGAATGAGACGTGTAAAAAATAATGATATCAGTAATATTTAAGTACCTGCCTATGCACTTTATTATGTTTTATCTGACAAGTACGTAAAAATTCACGTACGAATGTATTTTTTTAATTTAACCTTATATATTTGATTCAGACAATATTTTTTTAAAACAAATTAAAAAATTATATTTGAATGGGAAAAAATGTGTTTTGCAAATTAGGTTTAAATTAAAATAAATTTGTAAATCATATAAATTTAATTTTTAATAAGCGCAAAAAGATTGAAAATAGTTTTAATTTAAATAATGAAAATCATTGATAGGAATAATGTTAAATCAATGAACAATTTTTTTCAGATCGAATGGAGGGATCCTTGGTTAGCAATTTTATTAACTTTTCATGTCGCCATCACAATGACAGCATTGATGACGCGGAATCATGCTAATTTTCAAATTATCCTTTTCCTTATACTCCGTAAGTTCAAATTAATTCGATTATGTTAATTACACTAAAAATATCAAATCATAAAATAGTGTTTAAATAAACAACTTTAAATTAATCATTAAAAGAATTAAAATAATAATGGTAATAATAAGTATAAATAATAACGACATTGTTAATAAAAATATCTATTAATACAAAGTAACTATGTATTCTTAATTATTTAATAAGAATGTCGATAAGAATAATTAACAAAAAAACATTAAGTGAATTAATTTTGTAATAAAGAAAATAATTAAAAATTAATGAAAGTTTATAGGTAATTATTATATAGATTAATTGATTTGACCTAATTAATAATTTTAATTATTATTTTTTATTTTTCTAGTACTATTAGTCTACTTTTCTGAAAGTATCAATGAAGTAGCAGCCACAAATTGGAAGTAAGTTTATACCTGTTTTCTGTTCGTACAGATTATTCATTTATTTATGTAACAATTGTGATATAATTATTTTCATTTTTTGCAGGGTATTTTCTAGACAACAATACTTCGATTCCAAAGGCCAATTTATATCTCTCGTTTTCTCAGTGCCTATTTTAATTAACTGTATGATTATGGTGGTAAGTATTTTTATATTTCTAAAATTTTTTTTAATTATTTCATCGTTTGGATCTGAGCAAATTTCCCAAAATCAAATTATTGCCTTTACACTGGATTATAAAGAAATTCATTTTTTTACCCAAATAAAAACTGTTTCGTTTAATTTAAAAAGAAAACATTTTGAACTGATTATTATTTCATCAATTTGATGAATAATAGAATTTTTCAATTTAAAGAACTTTATGAGCCAAAAGTATTGAACGTTCAAATGAACAAAATTCTTTTTGAAACTTCTTTAAATACGAATTTTATTACAAAATATTGTTTTAAATATCTAAAAAGAAGTTATTAAATTAATATTAGTTTAATTTACTGTTTTATTTTACATTGACATTATAATTTTTAATAATTTATAGATTGAAAAAAATATTTTGTTCATTTGAACGTTCAAAACTTTTGGTTCATAGAACTTTTTGTTCACTTGTATTTAAATTAAAAATATTAGTAAATAATAAGAATTTACCTATTCGTAAATTTATTTATTAAATTTTTTGTTTTTCTTTTTTTCAATCTTGGATTTCTTGGATTTTTCGAGAAAAAAAACATTTCTCGTAAAATAAAGAAACCAAATAAAATTTAAGAGAATCATTTCTAAATGGATAAATTTTTTAAATTTTATAATAATATAAAAATATAATTTTGAAGGCAAGTTGGTTATACCAATCAAGTCAATTAATGACAAGTTTGAAAAGAGCTCAACTACGACAGAAGGTGAAATCGCGACAAATTGAAGATGAATCATTGAATTCAAATGGAAATGTCATCAGGCAGAAGCAGGATTAAATTTTTAATTCTAGTCATATGGAAATGTTCATCGATATAATATAATTTTGGATAGCTTATTTACCTATAACAAGACCAGAAAAACAAAATGTGATGAAGCTCTAATTCCTTATAAATTATGTAGTTTTTGTTTTCATTATAAGAATAATCTGCACTCCACAGAATTTCAATCATTATATAGGTTCTTAGAGCAATACCAGAATTTTGACTGTACAGTTTTCCGTCTTGCAGCATTTTACAACAGTCACGCTGCTCTTTTTTAATAAAAAAAAAAATAACATACATAATAATAAAAATAAGCATAATTAATATAATGTTATTCGCGTTATATCAAAACTTGAAATAATAATAATTAATATCCATATAAATACCAAGGAATGATAGCCTAGTTCGTATAAATGGATGTCGATAAAGATAAGAATCCCATCTGAAACATATAATATTGCAAATGTGATAATATCTAGTTTGAGAAATAAATTATGTGTAAGATCTATAACTTTTACAAAGAAAAAATGCGTCGAGACATATTTCTGAAAGTTTTCTGAATCTTTTGATATTCATTTGATGCATTGGTATATTATTTCCATGAATAAATAGAGTTGCCCTGTTATTATAAATAATTATCTAGATATTATATAGGAATGATGTACTTATATTAAGAATGCAACGATATTTAAAATTTCGTTTTTTTTTTTTGTTTAATTATAATTGTTAAAGAATTCGAAAGCCTATTTTTCGCACCTTCGATATAATAATTGTATAATAATGAAAGAATATGTAAATGTTTTTAAAAAATTTGCGAAGGCGTCGAAATATTTTTCTTTATTGATAATATGAGTCCAAGACTCAACGAATTGTACGTATTTTTTTTTGTAATTTAGTATAAGCTGTAATAATTTTATGAGCATTTTCTTGCCTTAAGTGCATTGTTATCGGAAATGTTATTCTCGATGCTTTTATAATTTATAATATATAGTTAACGCACTACTTATATTGCAATATATACATATATATAATATTTATGCGTAAATTGTAAAAAAAATTCATTTTATAAAATGTGACAATTGGTTTGTTCATTTAATTAACGATAAATTTTATGCTTTTCGAAAAATGAAGATTTTGATTATTTTGATTATTTTTGTATACAATATACATTATAAATATTTATAAAACAACACTACATCTTTAGTCTTATTTATAACCTTTTAACTCTTAAATTATAAATGTAATTATTATGAAATATAATTATTATAATTTTTAGGAACTTTTTTTAAATTATGGCGGGATCATTAATATTTACAATATTATTATAATTATATTTAGAATTTTAATATTTAATTATGTAATTACCTATTCCATGCACAAGTTGTGTTATTGAAGATTATAAAATCTAAATTTCTTATTTTTGTTATTAGCTTATAGTAAAAAACTGTTAATTTTAATTACTTTCACTGGTTTTATAAATTCACTTGATTAATAAGTTACTTTTAAAAATTTTGTCAAACTTTATTTAAATTTTTTTAAGAGCGTAACTATAACAAAAAATAATTTTTCTGGAATTCTTACACACTTCGTTAAAAATACATTCTTATTAATATAAAAAAATTTAACTTTAAACGTTATTTACGATTGATGATATAAAAAAAAAATTTTAATGCAAATAAATAAAATTTTTGCTCTTAAGGCGCTCTCTCACCTTTTTGGCTGCATGCAGGTTACCATGGCAACGCATGAGAGTGAGTGCGACAGAAAATTTAAAAATTTGAATTTTCAAATTTTCTGTCTCACTCACACTCGTGCGTTGCCATGGTAACCTGCAGGCAGGCAGGCAGCCAAAAAAGGTGTGAGTGCGCCATTAAACCAGAGTGGTTCTTTAAATACGGCATTATGTGTTTTAGTTCCACAATTCGCCGCCAGAGCGCCTGTCAAAAATTGTAATTTTAATATAACCTAAAAGAAATTCAGTTATAGTGTGATTCAGCGCATTAAAATTGTTATTTTTTTAAATAAAAAAAGTATTTTTAGAAATGGCCGAAAAGAAATTGTATTCTATGCAAACAAATGAAGAAATTATTGAAGAATTGACAAAAGATTTTAAAAGTTCCTGTGTGAAGGAAGATAAAACTAAATCTGTGGAACAAGAAAATTCAGAGACAAAGAGCAGTAAAGATGATCCCTGGGAAAATATAGGAAAAAATCCTGAGGAGGAGGAGGAGGATAAAAAGAATGAGAAAGTTGATACAGCTCAAGATTTAATTGAGGAAGATTTATCCGATGAAGAAGAGTTAAAAGATAGAGATTTAAACCTAAGTGAAAATGATAAAGAGGTTAGGGCTTATTATTATTATTATTTATTAGTCCTTTTGAAATAGTATTTCAATAAACAAAAATAATTCAAAACACAGATTAAATAATCAAAATATATAATTTAAAATCAATAGATTAAGGAATTACATTCAAAAAGAAGAAACAAGTCATTTTGAGGTTATGGTTATAAAACAATAAAAGATTTACACAATCTTTTTAGATTATTAATGTTAATAATAAAAAGTATCTAATATTTATCATTCTTTCAGTTATTAAAAACAGAGGCTGAATTCCTCAGAAAAGAAGCTAATAGTCAATTTAATAGTGGCGAATTTGAAACAGCTTTGTCTATGTATTCACAAGCTCTGAAAATTTGTCCACTGTGTTTTACTGAGGAAAGGGCTTTTCTTTTCGCCAATAGAGCTGCAGCCAAATGTAAACTTCCGGTATGTGTATATAATATACAATTATAATTATACGTCGATTGTTATTAATATTTTATAACTGTTTGTAATTTTGTTTTATTAACAGAATGAAAAACAATCCGCAATTAGAGACTGTACCAAAGCTATTCAACTAAAACCAAATCATGTAAAGGCTTATTTAAGACGTGCTAATTTATATGAAGAAACGGAGAAATTCGATGAGGCTTTAGAAGATTTCAAAAAAGTTTTAACTTTTGATCCAAGTCACAGCGAATCTAGTTACGCAATTCAAGTAAGATTTTTCACTTATTGTTACACTATTGTATTTTCCCTTAAATTTAGTTGAAAATGGTAATCAAAAAATTTAATGAGAAAACTTTTAAATCTCAAAGTAATTAAAATTCTTTTTTTTATTTTATACATTTACGTATAGAATGTGTGATTTTTAAAAATAAAATAATCAAATATTTAAAAAATATTTTTCTCTATTAAAAAATTTGGCTCCTTTTAACTCAAATAAATTTTTTTTTCTTCAGAGGTTACCTGGTTTAATTGCAGAAAGAAATGAGAAATTAAAAACTGAAATGCTTGGTAAACTTAAGGACTTGGGTAATTTAGTTTTAAAACCTTTTGGTCTCTCAACAGCAAATTTCCAATTACAACAAGATCCAAACAGTGGTGGATATTCAGTAAAATTTAATCAGAATCCTAGTTAAAAGGAAGTTTAATTATTAATGAATAACTGTGTTTACAATTTATATGTTGTTACAAAAAAAAAATATATATATATATAGAATAAGGGAAAATTTTTAAAGTCTTAAATAAAAAGTAAGTTATGTTCCAATTTTTTCTATAAAAAATAACAAGTTTTGAATTTTTTCTCGATCCTTCCCATAATAACTGTGAAACCAAACTTCAGAGATGTTTAAATATACCTGAAGTTAACTTATTAAAAATTTCATTTTATTTATTTTGAAGAAGGTTATAAATGTGATGTGATGTGTTAAAACAAGAGGATATGATCAAAAATTTGGAAACAAAAACTTGCAAATATGTTAGTAAAAAAAAAATATGTTCACATTTTCTACATTTCTATTTTCTTAATGCATTTAGTTTTGTCACTTATTTTGTTTTTTATTTTACACACTATTAAATTAGATTTTTCAAACTATTATTTTTTTCATTTATAGTTCAAATAGACAACAATATTTTCTCTTTTTAAATTGACATGTGTTTAAAGTTTAAGTATCAAAGTCATATTAAAATTTCATATTTATAGAAACTTTTAAAAAGTAACTTGCTGTTATACGTCTTAATAATAAAAAAAGTTCTCCGTAAAACTTCTTCTTTTGTTTACTCTTTTCTGTTACATATTACATAAATTTCTTGAATCAATTTTATTTTACTTTCCTTTAACATATTTATTAATATACTATTAATATTAAATTATTATATATCTATAATTATCCATTTTTATTTATTTATTACGAATTTTATTTTTAACATTTTCAATTTGTTTGATAATATTAAAACAAAATGTATTAAAGAAAATATTGTTTTTAAACTTTTTATTATAATATCAAAATTTAAAATGGTAAAAATGAAGCGGATTCTCTTTTGCCATCGAAATTTTAGCTTCGTGATCATTTTACATTTATCGATATATATCCATAGATACGTGTAACATCTAATATATATACGTCAGTAGAAAGATAAATAGTTACATGCTCGTCACGAACAAACCTTTATGTATTTTCGAACGTGCTCTCTTTTCATCCTTACCCTTATAAAAATTTCTTAAAAAATATATCAAGAAACGAATTCGTAATTTGAAATCTCTAATTTCAAAATCCTACTATACACACATATATATATACCATATTTTAAATACAATTAATTTTATTAAAGCGTTTAAGAAATAATTTAAAAAAATTATTTAAAATTTTTCAAGAGAAAATGATGAAGCTGGGTTTTACATATGAAGAAAATTTTATTTTTTTACTCTCTGTATATACTTATATTGGAAATGTCAACATTCAAAGAGAGATTTTACATAATATGAGAGTTGATAGTATATTTGCATTTAGTTTATAATGATTGAATTTTATAAACTCGCAGATTCTATTCGAACTCTCACATTATAAAACGACTTTGAGCCTTTGAGTTTGAAAATTTTAAGCTTAATTCCAAAATTTAAAGCAAATATAGAAAATCATATTTGAATTGTATGAGAAATTATGTAACTATGATAATTATCCGTTACAGAGAAGTTCCAAAATATAATATTATCTAATGAATCTGGCAATAAATTTATATTTGTATTTGAAAATCAAAGGGATTTTACTTTCCTTGGGAAATTGATTTTTTTTTTCAAAGAAAATACCGTGAAATAGATTCTTATTAAAAAAAAAAAAAAAAAAAAAAAAAAACTAGGTATAGATAGCGTCCTCGAGTTTTGATATCGCACTCTTAAGTTATTGGAGCTAGACATTCAGGCGTCCTACACCCGCCTCGACTTTCTGGCGGCTAAATTCATTGCCAATTTTTCATGTGTTGCTATATTTTATTTTCAAAATTTTTTATTTTTCACTTTTGTTGCATTTTCCAAAACAGTTTCTATAAAAAAAATCGTTAAATAAATATTTATTTGTTTCAAACAAATTTTAATATGTATATATATAAAAAATTTTATTTTTTCCAAACAACATTTTTATTTAAAACAAATAAACAGTTATTTCACTCTTAAACAAATATATTATATTTTTATTAGAATTAGACGATCGATTATTTTTGGATTAAAACAAAATATTAAATATATCTATTATTAATAATATTGTTTTTAAGAATTTTATTAATTAATTAAGATTAAAATTATTACCTATATTAATTTTTACTAAATTTTACATTTTTTCTGTTAATTTTGAAAAAATTCCAAATCAAATTATATTGTTATTTCATGACTCATTTATTAATATATATATAATTTTTTATTTTACGATTGATATTTTTTCATTCGCTATTAAAATATTCGCTGTTTCTTCAATATATATTATGACTGTTATTATAAAGACACTTCAGACAAATTTTTTTTATACTGAAGATATAATCAATTTTTCTCATTAAAATTAAACCAGTCTGTCCAAATTTAATCGTCTACCTTTCTATTATTTGCTGAAGGCCAAAAATACTCACCGTTATTTTATTTGAAGTACGATTTGTTCCGTCTGAATGAATGAAACTAAAGTTGGTCACGATTCAAATATATAGGAAAAGTCACACAATTTAAAACCATTATTTTATAAAATTACTGTAGTATTTTGAACAGCCATTAATTTTGAAACTATTATATTTTAATTATTTAATTATATCAATTTTTTTTAAATTGGTATATTTTAGAAACTATTCTTTTTTTAAATCAATAAAAATAAGCTTTATTGAATGATTCATACATTGATATTCCAATTATAATCGAAACTGATATTACTGAAATTTTAATACTTTTTTCTGACTAAATTTGACTTTTATTTATATGAGAAAATTACAAGACTGAAAAAATGTTTATTTTCAACTCTTCATAAAACTTATTCTGACAATTGATGTCTGACTACAATTGTCTCTTACTACTGATAACAAGTTTTCAAAGTTCGATAAAGTTTTGTCTGACAGAAATCGACTTTTACTACTACTATTATAATTTCAAGAATTTAGTAATGCTGCCTGACTGAAATTTTCTTTTACTACTAATAATATTAATACCGCCAATTTTTTATTTTATATCTTTTTCTAATTTTTTTGTATTACACTTATGCATCAGGACTGCAAAAATTAATTGAATAATTAAATAAAAAAAAAATTATCTCTGCGCGAAAAAGCTGTCTTTAACTACTGATATTGAAATTACCAAAATATAAATACTTCTGCTTGACTGAAACTTAGTTTTATCACAAAATCATGAAGCTGAAACTGGCACCCACTTATTTCAATTTTAATAACGAGATCATGAATTTAGAAATGACAGATATAACAAATGAATAATTTAACTAAATCTGATTTTATGAATTAGCAATATACTTGTTTGACAATTTGAAAATCTGCATATTATCCGCTGACACATTTTCCATTGGATAATGAAATTAATATAAAATTTTCAACCATAAGTTTGATATAGTATAAAAATGATTAATTCATTCCTATTAGTGTCGCGTTTAATCCAATAAAAATAAAATAATAAGATTTATAAAAAATTATTAATATATATATATATATATATATATATATATATATAAAGTGAATTAATATTTATTAATTTTTTATTAATTAAAGTTCTAAATTGGTTATTATAATTTTAAAGTTAAACAAAGTTTTTTTAAACAAATAATGCATGAAACGAAATTTTTTAAGAATGTGATTTTTGAATTCCTGAGATCAAAAAACATAAAAATATATCAAAAAATCGAAAAATTTTATTATTATTATTATTATTATTAATAAAATTTTTGTATTCATTTGGTACATTCCATGAGGAAGCAAAATATATGAAATATTAAAAAAAAATTGACTAAATATAGATTCGAAGAATTTACATGTGCTGTCTGAATAAAATTTTCTTTTACTACTGATACATATGGGCTACACGTGAGATTTTACTTATCACATTTTAAATTCAGATAAATATTTTGTTTTTTGTAGAAAAGGTATATTTACGTATTTCTTATTTTTTTAAAAAATGCCCAATTTTTCGAGTTATGAATTTTTAAAAATCTGGATTTTTCGAGGTACATCTAATTTCCATGGCATTTATAACTTTAAAAGTATTGAATTGAGGAATTTTTGCCAACAAAAAAAAAGTTTCAGTTTTTCATCTATGTATTTTCAAAATATGTTAAGGAAAAAAAGTGGATTTTTATATTAAAATAACGATTTTTTTAAATTTTGGGTATGATTTTTTTAAATTTTTTAAAAAATTTTACATACCTAAAAATACTAAAAACATTTTGCAAAAATTTTTAGAGTGAACCTGACAATGCTTTTTGTTTAAATAGTTTGTTAAAAAAAATTTTTTTCTTTTTTTTTTTTGTTTTTCAATATAAAATACATTTTAGTTTGATTTTCTATTAGTAAAGAGAAATATCCTATAGTGGCAAAAAAAAAACGAAAAAAAAAATATTTTAAAAATATTTTATTAAAATGAAACTTACTTTCATTTATAAATTTATTAATATTATTATTTATTAGTACTGAATAATTATTAAAATGACAATAATTCGAGAATTTTATTTGACTCAATTTTTTTTGTTATTGAATTCTAGATAGTTATATAATAATGAGGTAGAGGGGTGAAAAATATTTTCACGTATAATATATAAGAAAGGAATGTATGAAAATATTTCCAATAATTTTATATTGGTTAATGGGGCCTTATGAGAAATCCATTAAAAATGTTTTTAATTAAACAAAAATTTGTTTACTTGAATATGATTTTATAAAAAATTTTTTATCGAATGAAATTTTTTTTCACTTTTTTCCAGAAAAAATCTTCTCTAAATTTAAATTAGTAAGAATTCTTTCACTTATAAATGAAAGAAATGTAGAAATGTTCACTATAATTTTAATTTAGATTTCCATTTTTTAAATTTTCACCCAAAATGATACATTATGTCTTAGAGACAAATAAATATTTATTTGTTTTAAATAAATTTTGATTTAAATAAAAATTTGATTTTCCCTAAATAAAATGTTATTTGTGCTAAATTAAAGTTTTTATTTGTAACAAATAAAAATAGTTATTTCGCTCTTAAATAAATATATATATACTTTTTATTTGTTTTAAATAAATTTTATTTTTCTTATAATAAATGAAAATAAAATGTTTTTTTCAATTTATATAAATATGCTTCATTATTAATCACACGCCCTTTAAAGTTACATAACTCAAGTGAATGATGATTATTTTTCTCCGCATCATCATATATATGAAATTCAAGAAATATATTGAGTGAAATGCTTTTCCGTTCGCGTTTAAAATGATAGTCTGCGGGATAACTCATCGAGAAGAATAGAAGACGAAGATGAAGAAAAAGAAGTATAGTGGGAAGAAGAAGAAGAAAAAAAAGCATCACCCTTTGAATATGTTTGAAACTATTTATATTCGCACAACTATATATATATATATATATATTTGTAGGGTGGAAGATAGCAGAGGATAGAGAGAGGGACGGAATTCATTGGTTTTCGTTTTCACCCACATTTCGGCGCAGGCGTTATAAAAGCGAGAGACTGGTATTATCAGAGAAGGAGCGTAAACGTAAGAGCAGGAGTACCGGCCGTCAGATCGGGGGCTGAGATTCGTGTGGTGTAGTACGGGGGTGGCTGTACGTACAACGAACAAGGGTTCCACGAAAAAGCTTTCAGTTACGCAAAAGTGGTGGGCTCGTTCGATATCGGAAACTCTCTCAGTGTGTATTGTATTATAATGTGTCATTTAATTTAAAATTTAAAAAAAAGGGAAGATTGCACTCACTGCCACATATACACTATATACATTACAATACGAGGGGGATTTTTTAACACAAAAAATTAAAAGAGAGAGAGAGAAAGAGAGAGATATGTAAAGACTCAAGTGATCACGAAACACGGTGTTCAACTGTTTTCTTTTTGGGTTACTTTTTCCCGCAAAAAAAAAATCAAGACAAGAGAGGATCTCGATGCGGCATGTCTTCCGTGGTGATTGCCGAAAAGGTGGGTGAACCATCGTAACCACGTTTTCAGGAGGCACTGACATTGTCAATGGCTACAAAACCGGAAGTTGGTGCAGGGCCTTCACGCTCGGTTTATGTGTGAATCAATAAATTCAGAATGCCGGTGTAAAATAGGGTTTGCGGTAAACTAAAAATATCTTCCTCGACCCCGATCTAAGGATAACAATGTATTTTACTTCTAGGAACATATCAATGATTATATTATGTTATAATTCATTTTCTTTATATTTTTCTTCAATTTTTATTTTGGGAGATTTTTTTATTTTTTACATAAACAAAATGAAAATTGCTTACATCACACCGTGCCTGAACCAAAAAAAAAGTTTGACTAAAATGGATCCAAAATCGGGTTTTTGGGGATTATTCTACATCATATCAGAAGTAATAATTCGTTGAGATCAAAATCCTAGCTGCTCCTTTTTTCGAGATATCGGTATTTTCGTTTATTTAATTTTGCGAATATTCTAAAAACACTCAGTTTGGAACTTGTAACTTCATGTAGGCAAACAAATCTTACAAAAAGTATCTTAAATATATTTTTTATATGTAATTACATGTAAAATCCTTTAAAATAAAAACTCAATGAAGAAAATTTGGTTAATATTTATCAATGTATTAGGTTTTTTTATATTGAGCTCAATTAGGAGTCGATTTTGAATTTTTTTTATATTTTAGGTCATATCTATTTCCAAACCCTTTATATTTATGTTAAATATATTTTTTATATTTTAATACTTTTTGCACAACAAATTAATTTATATGATTTAGAAAGAACGAAACAAATTTTTTTATTACAACTGGTAGAGAATGATATTCATAAAATATCATAAGCGCAAAATAAGCAGTTGAATAATTTTCAAACTAAACAATAGATTTAAAATTTTGAAACAAAAATGAATATAAATCGATGTCTTGCATGAACTATAATAGTCAGTATAATACAACTCACTTAAAAGTAACGAAATAAAAATTCGACAATTGTTCACATAAGTTTCAATGGAATATTTCTCATTTTTGAATTCATTTCGTAGAGATTTTAACTTTTAAAAATCGACGATGGACCAAATCACTAATCTATTCAAAAGAATAAAACATATTTTTTTAAATAAAATATATGTTATAGTTTTTTAAAAATTAAAATCTCTACGAAATGCATTTAAAGATGAGAAATTTCCATTGAGACTTATGCGAACAATGTCGAATTTTTATTTCGTTACTTTTAAGTGAGTTGTATTATACTGATTATTATAGTTCATGAAAGATATCCATTTATATTCATTTTTGTTTCAAAATTTTAAATCTATTGTTTAGTTTGAAAATTATTCAGCTTCTTATTTTGCTATTATGATATTTTACGAATATCATTCTCTACCAGTTGTAATAAAAAAATTTGTTTCGTTCTTTCTAAATCATATAAATTAATTTGTTGTGCAAAAAGTATTAAAATACAAAAAATATATTTAAGATATTTTTTGTAAGATTTGTTTGCCTACATATAGTTAAAAATTCCAAACTGAATGTTTTTAGAATATTCGCAAAATTAAATAAACAACGAAAATACCGATATCTCGAAAAAATTTAGAATGATCCCCAAAAACCCGATTTTGGATCCATTTTAGTCAAACTTTTTTTTGGTTCATGCACGGTGTGTACAAGAGAAAATTATTACAAGGCATTTTAGTTCTTCAAAAATATTCTTTCTCAAAAATATACAATTTTTTTTCTTCTACAAATGTTTAACGAAAAATGGAAATATATTAATAATTTTAATAGAATACAAAATAATAAATTAAAATTTTTATTGACATTTTATATTAATAGTATAAAATTTGTTTTTTTAATATTTTTTTTTGTGAATGTTATTTATGGTACATAAATTATATTCAGTTATTTAAATTTTGTCTAATACGCCAATTTTCAGTGAGGTGATTTTAAGGTAATTGTTTTGGTATATATCCTTCTAAAGAGAAGATTAGGTAAATTAATCTTCACAAAGATCGTGGTTTTGTTTTGAGAAATTCTGAAATATATATAGATTTTAATAATCTCGGATTAAGCGATTGCTGGCGATGAATATTTCTCGAGTAGAAAAAATGTTGAAAGAAATTTGACATAATTTCTTTGAAACTTAAAAGAGAAAATTTTTTAGCTCGACTATATACTATAAAACAGTTTCTTTTCAAATAGAATAATTAGATACTTTATACTAATAAATTCCATAGTACCTTTAATATTTTATTCAATTTGTAAAAGAATTATATTTGTCAAAGGAGAACTTAATTTTTATATGTTTTTTTTTTTAAATTCCAAAAAAGAAATTTAAATAAAATAATGATTTAACTGAGGAATTTAATTTTCATATTGGAAACATAAATTTAGTGAAATATTTTATAGAAATAATTATTTTACTAAAAAAATTATTTGTAATTTTGGAAAATTCACGAAATTCCAATATTTATAAGATTATAAACATATTTATTTTAAAATTATGAAATTTTTAAGAATTAATTTAAGAATAACATTTCCGTTCAGTTTTTTCTTTTTTGTTTATTTATTTATTCTTTTTAAAAAATGCTTCTAATTATACAATAAATTCGATGAATTATATAAAAATTACTAATTCTACAAAAAAAACAAATATTTAGAATATAATGTTACTATAATAAGTTTACTAAACAATTTCTCCACTACTAGAATATAATTACTCCATAAAAGAATTCTCCTGGAATAATCACTCTACTATATAATGAATTTCACTAGAATAATCAATATATACCAAACAATTTAATACGCACCAGATAGATATTATTTAACTTATAAATGTTTGCTTCAAAATAATTCGAATAATGATATGATGATAATTAAAACAGTATAAAAGGCACTTTGAATAATTACCATATATATGTATTCAGAATGATCAATTTAAAATAATTATAACAAATGCAACATTCGAATTGATATAAATTTCAAAATTATTATTCTCCTCTCTTCTTTTTTTTCAACTAAAAATAATCATTTTGTGAAAACTCGTCAATTTATTATTAGTTTTTTCCATTATTATTTTTTTTTTTTTTACATCAATATAACAATTTCAATGCTCGTAAATTTCATTTTATTCCATCATCTCTTTCCTTTTGAAAAGAAGCGTATCAGGAAAAAAAAAGAATTTAATTGATCCTCCATTCCCCTATTTTCTGTCACTGAGATCTTCATTCTTTTCTATTATGCAATGTCCCTGGACAACTTTAATGTCTATTAGACTTAAGTCGAAGCGAAAAGGGACTCATTAAAATTAAACTTTGCCTTGAAAGTGTATATATATATATATATAACCCCTTAGAGAACTGTTTCGTTTCTTCAAAAAAAAAAAAAAAAAAACGAAGAAAAAAAGAAAGTTCTTAAACTCCCGCTTTTGTTCGTAAATTTTCTTCTCGCGACAATGAAAATATTTCTCCGTCTTGTTTCTGATGGCGCCAAATTGAAAATTTGGATTTTTTTTTTTTTTACAAAAATACGAAAATTTAAATATATAAAAGCCGTTTATAACAAACACTGTTCAAAATCAAATTGTGGAATACCAACTATTATTGACTATAAACACAAGTGCTCTATACAGTGTGGCTGTGTTTATATAGAGAATAAACTTGCTAGATTTTCAACCACAAAATGGTTCTATGTATATCTATACATTGAGGGTTACATATATGTGCATGTAGGTTGAATGGACAGTTAGGGAGAAAGGGGGAGGGGGGGGGTTAAAAGCTGTGAAAGATGTAGCTATATCATCATGACTTGTGACGTTTAACGATCGACAAAAGCCCGAAGCCACATTTTTGCAAGCAACCTCTTGTTCTTTCCTCTCTTATCCCTATTTGGCCTTTTTTTAAATTTCACTCGTGAACTTGATATATTATTGTTCTAATTAAATCGATTAAAATAGGAACTTTACAAAGAGACATCTAGATTTTCTAATCAGTACTTTATTGGTCCTTTTGTTTATTATAAAAATTATTAAAAGAAAAAAATTTATCATTTCCACCCTTTTGAATATTTTGTTTCTTTTTATTATATCATATTTATTACATTTATATGTAATTATTATTTTTTTTATCAGTGAAAGCTTCTTTTATTATACAATATTTTCTTCTTTTATTTACATTTTGTTAAAAGCTTTTTTTTGAAAAATATTTTCTCTTTGTTGAAAAACAATATTATTGGTTATCATATTTCGATATAATTTTACAGATATTATTTTTTATTTTTACTATATTTTTATTTTATTTTATTATTTAACAATATGTACCATAATTTATAAATATTATCGTAATGACATATATTATAAATAATAAATATCCTATTCACAATTCATAGATAATAATAGTAATATTTAAGTTATATGACACGAGCTATTATTAAATCTTCCCCTCGTTTGAGTAACATAAAAAATTTATTCTTTATATATATATTTTTTTTTCTGTATGACACATATTTATAAATGTCAATATAACTGAAAGATTTACTAAAGTCCTTTAGGAGCTATAATAAATTCTGTCAAAAATTAGAAATTTCCAATATTTCAAAATAGTATGTTTATATAAAATTAATATAAAAATGTTGTGCATAGAAAGATGACTCTTTCGTCGAGGGGAAAAAAATAACTGTCTTTGTAGTGGTAAAAGCTGCTTCAAATTTTTTAGAATTCTCAAATTTTTCATATTTTAAATTAAGCTCTTCTCGTCATAAATCATCAGAAATTCTCTTTATTATATCAGGTTCGTTGTAAATGTAAAGTAATTTTTCAAATATAGAAAGTAATTTTTTTTTCATCATGAAATAAGTGGTCATAGTTTATGTAATTTTTTTTTATAAATATCATTTTTTAATAAAAGTTAAATAAGAATACCTATTTCTTTTTTTTACGACAAAAGGATTTTTATTATTTCACTGAGAGTATCTGAAGGACTTGACTTTTAATAAAGTCAAGGAAAAAAATCTCTAAAGAAATTATATTTAATTTTTCCCCTCATCTGCTTCAATGTAGAATAACATTAGAGGGTGTAAAATACCTTGAATTCTATAATCTATATATTATATATATATATATATATATATACGCGGAGCCAATTAGGAATAATATTCAAAAGTGCTCTTGTATATTGAAAGCAGATACATCATTGATACGATTATGTCAATGAAGCTGAAGTTTATGGTAATGACAGACCGTGGGAAAATTAATTCAATTTCCCGAGGAGGATCTCTTTTTTCAAGATAAAATTCTTAAGAGACGATGAGCATTATTGGTATCGCCTTCAAGATACGCAATTAGAAGAAGAAGAAGAAAAAAGAAAAGAAATACGTTTTCATATATACGAACTTTATGAAGTCATGAAATGATATTATCCAATTTTCTTTAAGTATATTTTTCCACCATATATATATATATATAGAGGGGAGATTATGGATAAAGATATGACTAAGCAACATTTACACAAACAAATGTACACCCCTTATAGGATTTTCCCCCTCCATCTTCAATTTTTCCGCCTCATGTATATTGTTTGCAACCCTCAGATTTTGATATGTATGTGTATATAAGGGGTAAATAGGAGGGGAAAAAAATTCTTTACTTTTTTTTTTTAAATATTCCTGTATTGTATTTCTCAGCAGTTCAAAGTAATCTTAAATCTCTTAAATCGAATTGAGGGCAGTGGATAGAAATTATTTAGGTCATAAACACTGACTTCGATTGTCATTAGGGCTTTTGAACTTAAGTTCGATTGATAAAATGTCATATATGTTAGTTTTTTAATTTGTTAATTAATCAATTTTAGGACATTTATTTCTTTTTCTTTCTTTCATAAATGTTTCATAATGCTAATTATGTTTTTATGATTTGAAATATGAGTGATATTTTTATAACATATTATTCTATAACAATATAATTGTAAATGTTTCACAATTAACTTGAAAGTATCAAATTGATATACTAAAAATATAAAATTGCATACTACTAAAAGTATCAAATTGATACTAAAAAATATCAAATTTATTCTAAAGGAATCAAGTTGATCCACATTTTTATAAAAAATTTTATATTTTTAAATTAACCGTGATTTTGACAAAAAACATATTCAAAAAATATAAAGGACTTGCAATTGACTTTTAACTTAAATTACTTTCCAGTCAACTATCCAACGGTATAGTTGAAGATCTCAGTTAAATTTTTAATTAAATTTTTAATAATACCAATACAATATTTATTTTTTTATATTTTATATAAGACCGAAAAGGAGGAGGGTCAAAAAGGCCGTTTTTTGGGCCAAGGACGTCGCATTTTTTCCATTGCATATCTGAAAAGTATGCGTCAAGAGCTTTCCAAAACACACAATAAAAACCCTTTTAAGTTGAGATAAGTGGTAGTTATGCTTGATCAAAGTTAGAAAAACTTTGTAAAATGAGGAGTATAAGTTTACTGTATAAAATCTTAAAAAACAACAGCAATTGCACGAAACTTGTTACTCGGGGGTTCTCAGGGTCGCTGATGACGAATCTGACGTCTGTTTTCAAAAATCCAAGATGGCGGATCCAAAATGGCGGATGAATTTTTAAAAAATTAATCATATTCTTATGAAACGTTTGACTCGGGGGTTTTTGAGGTCGCTGAACACGAATCTGATGTCAGTTTTCAAAAATCCAAGATGGCGGATCCAAAATGGCGGACACTTTTTCGAAAAATGCCGTCATGGCTGATACACTTAAGAAATTTTTACGATGCCATCTTGAATTTTTGAAAACTGACTTCAAATTCGTAATCAACGACTCCGAAAACCCCCGAGTAACGAGTTTCATGCGATTCCGATGAATGTGTTAGCCATTTTGGATCCGCCATTTTGAATTTTTGAAAACTGACATCAGATTCGTGTTCAGCGACCTCAAAAACCCCCGAGTCAAACGTTTCATAAGAATATGATTAATTTTTTAAAAATTCATCCGCCATTTTGGATCCGCCATCTTGGATTTTTGAAAACAGACGTCAGATTCGTCATCAGCGACCCTGAGAACCCCCGAGTAACAAGTTTCGTGCAATTGCTGTTGTTTTTTAAGATTTTATACAGTAAACTTATACTCCTCATTTTACAAAGTTTTTCTAACTTTGATCAAGCATAACTACCACTTATCCCAACTTAAAAGGGTTTTTATTGTGTGTTTTGGAAAGCTCTTGACGCATACTTTTCAGATATGCAATGGAAAAAATGCGACGTCCTGGGCCCAAAAAACGGCCTTATTGACCCTCCTCCTTATTCAGTCTGATAGCAATTGACTTTTACTATTGGTATACGAAAATTACAAAAATGTGAATGGTTCTGTCTGACTAAAAATTACTGTTACTACTTGAATGAAAATTATTGTCACTTAAATGATCCTTTTGGACTGTAACATTACTGTTACTACTCACACTTTGACTATAAAAATTTAAAAGAAACAAGATGGTTAATTATTAGCATGTAAAATTGTTTTCGACCAATTTTTTTCATTTAATAGTTTTTTTTCCATTCTTTTTTTCATTAACTACTTTTTCTCAATCATATCGACAGGCTATAAATTTGTGCCGCAGTTTCATAAATTTTAAATGATATTTTTTACTTTGCAGTTGAAAAGCAAATTATTCAATTATATATAGTCGACGCATGAGAACTCAATTTACTTAGAAAGTAAATTTATTATTTACGAGACAACACGTCTCTTTAATAAATCAATATATTAGCGGTAAATAATAATAGAAATAAAAAAAAAAAATTCATAAACTTTCATTAACAATATGTAAAATATTATTTATTTTTAAAATTGCGTTTTTTTATAAAGAAAATTTTATTATTATGTTGCAAATTGTATATTACGGAGTTTTTTTCTGAATACTCTAAGAAAATCATCGTCATGTATGCCATTTTCCACTATATTAGGTCAATTGTTCCCCTGGTAGATATTTCAGGAAAATCCCTCTGACATTATATATTTTATAAAAGTTATATTCTGAAAATATAAATGTTTACCATCAAAATTCATTTGCATGAAATCGACAAGTTTAACAGGGTTTTTTTTTTTTTTATTAGATGAAATAAAAGAAAAATTTTTAAAGAGAAAACAAAATTGTAAATTAAGTTAATGAAATTTTTAATAGAAAAATAAAAAAATTCTAAACTAATTTCTTGTCAATAATTAAAATTTTTTTTTCGTTATTATAAAAAAAATGTATAATAATAAAACACTATTTTTCATTAAAATTTAAAGAGAATATAAATTTTGAAAAATAATTTTGAAAACAAATTTGAAATTGTAAAATTGTTCATAAATAAAATTTTATACTTTTATTGTAATGTAAAATGTTTCTATACGAGAAAAGCAACATCTATATTTATAATCGTATCTAAGAATAATGTGCATTAAAATATTAAAAAAAAAATTTATTGTTCCGGTCTAGATTATTTGAGTCAATAATATCTACAATTTTACAACCGGAATAATGAAAAAGCAGATTGCGATAATAAAAATAATGTTCCACTCTAATATGCAGAAACTTTTGTGATTATTAAATATAGAAACATGAATATTATATCTATAATTCTATGCATTAAATAAATTAAATTTACATATAATAATGAATTGTTTTAACTATTTAAATAAATTTTTCAATTTACAGTCGCATTTTACGAGGCACAGAACGCGACGTCTCACACGTCGTGAAAAATGGCCCCTACATTTGGCCTTTATTCTCATCTACTTTCTGATTCATTTGATTTCATCATCGACAACATCGCCATTGGATGTTGGGAATTTAGTTTCAAATACAACGACAACATCGACAATAGAGACGGCGATAAAATCATCCCAATTAAATTCCAATCAGTTGGAGAATGAAAAGGGGAAAAACGATGACAAGAATAAAGGATTACCTGCTTCCAAGGATCAAGTGAAGGGAAATAATTTAAATGAAAATACAAAGCCAATGGAAAGCGAAAAAGAAAATGAAACTAAAGAAAGTGAAAAGACGAACAAGAATAATGTGATAGACGATAAAACGGAAAAAGAAAATACGGAGCCTGATGGCAAGGATAAAGAGGAGAAAAACGAAAAGAATGAGAAATTTTTTTCGAAAATTCCCAATTCAACAACCGTAAGTTATTTTTTAAACGAAAATAGAATTTTTTTATTCGTAAAACTAAATAAATAGATATTTTCTTTAAATTGTTTTCAACTTTATTTAATTTTTCTTAGATTTGGAATATTTTTTAAAATAGTTTTAAAATTTCTTTTTTTTTTTTAGGAGCCTTCTGTTATATCAACGACAATTTTACCTGAACATTCAACAGTGAGGCCTAAAAGAATTAATTGTTCTGCGCCAGCCATCGAACAATTTCCGAGACCGTTGATGGGCCCCAGTGCCAGGAAACATGGTGGTCTTATCATTCATATAATAGTAGCAGTCTACACTTTTCTTGGTCTTGCCATAGTCTGTGATGATTACTTCGTATCCAGCCTCGACAGGATTTGTGAGGGTAAGACTCTAAATCTCTCAATTTCCTCATTCCATTTTCTTCTTTCTTTCCCCAACTATTATTTTTTCCATTATCATTTCTACAGAGGTTTTTTTTTTAGATTTTATAAATTTCTCTATTACCAAGTTTTTTATTATTACTAAATTGTATATGTATTTTTTTAAAAATAAAAACAATAATAATTGTTGATTTACAAGATACAACAATTGCTCAAAATTGTTTAAATGGACATATATATACTTTAAACCATTTTTTTTTCATTTAACTCAAAAAACAGGAATGCAATATTAAGAAATATTCTGAATTTTAAGCCATTTAATTTCATTCTCTAAATTAAAAGTTAAATTTATGTTAATTTACGAAAATTATTCTTCATAAATAAATTTTTTAAGACAGTAAACTATATGAGGTATTAAAAAGCATCGTAAATTAAATTAATATAACATGGAAAATTAAAATAATCCATTTTTTGAATTTAATGTTTTTTTCAGTTTAGTGAAACTAAACGTTTCTAAGTTCATTTTTTGGTAGTTTTTAATTTTAATCTTCGGATAGATTATTTTAATTTTCTATGAATCAAAACGTTGCATCTTATTTTAATCCATTTTAGTATTAAAATAATATCCCACAATTTAGGTACTGTATTAAAACGTGTCAAGCTATATTATTTAAATTGACTACTTATTTTTTTTTCTTAATTGAATGAAAAAAACAAAACTTGTTTATTTTTAATGGTTTAAAAGATATGTATCCATTTAAACAATATTTTGAGCAAAAGTTACGTCTCGTAAATAAAAAATTGTTTTTTTTTTTATTCAAAAAGTTGTATTTCTGGAAAAAATTGATAAAAAAAAGTGAAATATATATTTCTCAAGGAAATAAACATAAATAAATAATATATAAAATAGATTATTTTAATAATAAAAAGATATTTTCATAATTTTTTCAATTAAAAATGAATTTTTCTCTTATATAAAAAATTTGTTCGATTTAATAATTTACTTCATTTTAAAAATTAAGAGACATTTAATCCGCAATTTCGACATTTTGATTTCCAATTAAAGTAATTAATAAAATGGTAGTTAGTTATATTTAACAAATAATATATAGATAGATTAAATTGTAGAATAAGCGAATTTTATTTCATTTGACCTATTTTTTCACTAATTAAATAAATTCCATTATAAGGTTTGATAATATTATTATTCACATTTGTTAATGAAATTCTGTTTGATAAAAAATTTTGTACCCAGCAGTTATACATAGGTATTTGAAAAATTAATTTTCTCCCCTACACAAAATTAATTTTCATTTGTGAAAAGTGAATTCTGCTCTTTTATAGAGACTCTTTTCACATATATATATATATATATATATATATATATATAACACATTCACTTAGTGAGAGAAAAATCTTGTTTGACCCAACAACTTGTTCTACTTAACAAATCAATTTTATCCGACGAGACGAATTTTTTTTTTATTTTATTAAGTTAAAAAAAATATCTCAAATAAAATTTATTTTATCTAATTATTTTCTCTATCTATTAAATATAATATGAATAATCTATGTTTAATTATTCATGCGAGTTTTACTGATTACAGTAATTTAAGTTTTAAATTTAATTATAAGTTTTTAGTTCATATTACATTTAATTTAATGGAATGTTTATTAAATTTAAATTAATTTCATTCAAAATTAAATTATTATTGGAATTCAAATATAAATTTTCAGGATATAGAAACAATATTTTTAAACAAGAGAAAAAGGATATATATACTATATATTTAACGTACGTGACATTTCGCAAATATTGAAAAAAATGAATATTCAATTTTGTTTTGAAGTAAAGGGTATATATTTATAGCACAGTTTTTGAAATGACCCCTTTCCCGTAAAGTAATATTCGAGGCCAACGTGGAGGAAAGAAAATACATTTTCTCCATATATTTAAATGTTTCAATTGAACTTTGATCTAAATTTTTACAGCAATAGGATATTGAGAAATATTATATCAGATTATTTAATTTTTTTTTTATTTTTTTTTTTTTGCAGAACTAAGATTGTCACCAGACGTGGCAGGGGCAACTTTCATGGCTGCAGGATCGTCTGCACCAGAATTGGCAACTGTTGTAATAGGAGTCTTCTTTGCGCAAGACGATATTGGCGTAAGTTTCATTCACAAAGAAAATAATTATTGATCTTATGCATCAGTATATAGTATACAATGAAAGCAAATACTCATTTTGCAATATTAGATCTTTTAATGTTTTCCTTCTGTCATCTCTTTTTTCTCGCTAGAGCTTGCCTCGCGCTTTTGTACTTCGTCTCATTTTCTTCTCCTATTATTAATTCATGACTTTTTAATTAAGTTAATTTAGTTTTTATCATTTATTCTTTTTTTTGGTTCACTTTTTCTCTTTTTTAATTTTTTTCCTTTTTTTTTGTTTTTCGTTATATTTCTCTTTTTTTTATTTTGCTTCACTTCTATATTTATTATTTTCTTCATTAGATTTTTGTTTTTATTGTTTATTAAATTATTGTCTTCTTCTATTTCACTTATTCTTATTTAAATGTCATCTCTATTTTTTGCTTTTGTACTCCGTTTCATTTTCTTCTCCTTCTTATTAATTCATGTCTCTTTAATTAACTCAAATTAATTTTTCTCATTTTTTATCTTTTTAATTTTTCTTTCTCTTTTTTCGCTATGTTTTTTTTTATTGTTTATTAAATTAATTTTTTATCTTCTTTTGTTTAACTTTTTGTAATTGTCTGAAAATTTTATTTTTTTTCTTCTTGTTACTTTGCTTCCAATTCATTTTTTTGTAATTTATTTTATTTTCACTTCTATTAATTATATAATTTATTAATCAATTATTTTATTTTATTTTCTTATTCGAATTATAATTTTTGGTTTGTCTTTTCTTTTGCGACAATCCAGTTTCATTGTTATCCTATTCATTTTTTATTATTTAATTATACTTAATTTTGTTTCTATTTTTCATTTTACTTTACTAAAATTAATATTTTATATTTTTTTAATTTATTATATACTATACACTGAAAAAAATTTATTTGAATCAAATAATTTTTTCTCAGTTTACAATTCGAAGTTCTTAATTTTTTTTCTTTATTTCTTCGTATCCTTTTCATTTTTTATATTTAATTTCCTCTTATTTGGACTTTAATATTCTTTTTTCAATTTCTTTAATTCTATTTTTCTTATTTTACTCATCTGATCATAAAATTTTCATTTACGCGAGAAAAAAAATTATATTCGTTCACAGAAAACGTGTTTCATATTTCTAAATGAAAAAAAATATATATCTACGTAGGTAATAGTATTTGTAAAATGAATATTTTATTTTCTCGCAAACTAACACTGGATAAATAAAGAAAAAAGTAAAATTTTGTTTTTATTTTGAAATTAGGTGAGTGGGGTCATCGGAAGTGCAGTATTCAACATAATGTTTGTAATATCCGTTTGTGGCTTGTGCACAACAACTGTATCTAAATTAAATTGGTGGCCCCTTTGTCGTGATTCATTCTTCTACGCTGTTTCCATTTTAGTTATGCTCGGCACAATATTCAACGAGATAATTTCATGGTAATATATAAATTATTTGCAAAAATATTATCATCATAATATATATATTGAATTAATTGAATTTATCTATCCTTTTTCTCGCAGGCCTGAAGCACTTTTTATGCTCATCATGTACGTTGTTTATTGTGTGACATTATCGTATAACGCTTCACTTGAACGTTGGGCAAAGTCCTATAATCTTCCATTCCTTCCAAAAGATGAAGAGCCCGCAGAACAGAGCGCATTAGTCACTTATAAATCATTGCAAGAGGAAAGAGTGTCTTACACTGCGCCCAGTTCTCCTACACCAGTTGATCCTTGGAAAAGTCCAGTTGGTCCGTTATTTTTCAAATTTAACATTAGAACTTTTTTCAAAATCATTTTTGAAAATTATACTATTATAATTTTTTTTAAATATTTTATATTACTTAAATATTATTATAGAAAATAGAGAAAAAAATTATTATGATTGTAATTTAAAAATGCTGAAGTAAAAACAATATTATCAAATGTGATTAAGAAAAAGACATTGAATTTTATTTTTTAACTAAATTTATTTGCGTAGAGAGTGCAATGCAAGCTTGGGATGATCCATCTTCACAGCAGGAGCAACAAATTCAGCAGCAGCAGCAACCAATTCAACAGCAGCCACAACCGCAACAACAACAACAACAACAGCAACCGCAACAAGCAGCTCCCGTTGCAGCAAAACCGCAATATTACAAAGCGAAAGAATACGATCCAAATGAGGTTTCACCATTAGAGAAACCAGTTGACGGTACACAATGGCAAATGTTCTCCTGGGCACTTGTCTATCCCATTCATTACATGTGTCGATTTACAATGCCTGATGTTCGACAGGAAAAATATAAAAGATTATATCCCTACACTTTTTTCATGTCAATGCTGTGGATCAGCTTTTACAGCTATATTATGGTGTGGATGATAACAATAATAGGTATTTTATATTATAAATTAATTACAAATTATTTCAAATCATCAAAAAAAAGAATATATTACCTATTATAATAAAACCGTAGAATAAAATAAAATGAGAATGTCATTTTTTTGTGAATTTAGGTAGCACACTTGGAATTCCTGACACTGTTATGGGTTTGACATTCGTTGCGGCAGGTGTAAGTGTACCTGATGCACTATCTTCATTGGCTGTTATCAAAGAGGGCCTTGGTGATATGGCCGTCAGTAATGCTGTTGGAAGTAATGTCTTCGATATTTTAGTTTGCCTCGGTCTTCCGTGGTTCATTCAAACTGCAATTATCAAACCTGGCTCACACGTTAATGTCACCAGTAGAGGTAATTTTTTTTTTTTTTCAATTTCTTTATTGAAGTTTACAACCGAACAGAAAATAATGAAAAACTATAGAAACGAGGATAATAATATAAAATTAAAAATTACAGAAAAATTAACCCTTAAATTCTATTCTTATTTCAATGAGAATTTTATTCCCCCATAAAATTTATTATTATATCAAGGTGTTTATAATTTCATCTTCTGTCCAGGTTTGACCTACTCGACCCTTTCTCTTCTCTCGACAGTTCTATTTTTGGTGTTAGCGACACACATGAATGGATGGAAATTAGATCGACGTTATGGAATAGTACTAATGATTTGGTACTTAATATTCATCGTTTTCGCTTCATTGTACGAGCTGAATGTTTTCGGTCAAATGAATCCACCAGTCTGTCCCAGCGTATACTAATTTCATTATATTACGCGTAATCTCAATTTTGCGCCAATGCATCATTCACGAAAATATTTATAATTATATTCTCATGAAAGTAATAGCTCGAAAGGGGTAAATGAAGAAAAAAAAAAATATAACTATATAAATTATGCCGATGAAGAACATATATATATAGAAAATTCAATGTTTAATCGAGAAAAGTGGAAATAATATCTAGGAGAAAGGTGAAATAGTTTTAGAAAATTAGAGAAGGAAAATAAGATATAGAATGACGAAATCATAAAAGAAATAGACAAAACAGATTTAAAAAAAAATGAAGAAAAATAATGAAAACGAAAAGAAGAAATAAGAAATTAGCCAACAGGAATTGAGAATTGGTTAGAGAAATGACAGAAACTGCAATGATGAGTGTTTAATTAGACGAATTATAAAAGACAGTTGAGAAAAATAATATATAATATAAATATCAGTATTACAATGTTAATTGTTATATGATTTGCATTTAGTTTAAGCGAGAGTATATCAAGTGTCAAAGAAGCTCCGCGTATATATATATATATAATTATAATAATAAATTGAATGCTTACTGTACGTACAAATAAACATGATTCCATAATCGTGCTGCGGCAACGATTTCACTTCAGAAAGTATAAGCAAATCCGTACCCCGAGCCACGATTTACATGTGATAAATAATAATCTATGTGTAATTTCCTTGAAAAAAAAAGAGATGAGTATAGAGAATTTTTTAAGGAATCGTGGTTCCATTAATCGTCCTGCTCGAGGATATAATCGAGAATTTATTTAAGGGGAAACTGAAACATCGAAACTGACTAGAAAGTATTCACAAACGTTTGACAAAAAAAAAAAAAAAAAAAAAAAAAATGCTTGTGCACACGCGTCAAATAATATCTTCCGTATATATTGATGATTTTTATTTTCCTCTGCGCCAATGTATAGAGAAAATCAAAAACAATTTTTTGGAAATTTTTTTATTCATAATTTTCTTTTCTTTATTTAAGTGTATATGCAAAAAAAAAAAGGATGACATTAAATTTTTTTCATGATTTATAATTATCTATTGACAGATCTTTCTGTCTGTTGCAGAAATTGAACTTTTATTCTTCTTCTAATTTCCTTTAGCAGAAAAAAAGATTCATTTCCTGAAAAAAGTACATACTAATAGACTGATCAAGGAAAATAAAAATTCATCAAAAATCAGATATTTTTGTTTTCTAAAAAAGAGGGCGCGGATCAATCGAAACGAACCCTGCTCTTTTTTTAGCCTTCAGTTAATTAAACGTTATCAAAAATAAATTATATATATATATAAATATATAGCAAATTATGTACCTATAATGAGAATTAGCTCGCAGCTGTTTATATATTTATAACGATTGTTAGTCGTTAAAAAAAAGTATCGCGGTAGCCAACGAGTGGTAAGAAATCGAGAAAATTCATCAGGGATCCTGAAAATCGCTTCTTCCGGTTATTTAAATTGTTCGTCTCACTGCTAACTTCCAGCTGCTTTTTTCTCTTTACCTATTTATATAATAATTTTTCACGAAAATTCATCGATTTCAAATCACTCGTCTGTGACCAAAGTTTATAATATTATATATATATATTATATACACTTAATGTATTAACGTATTAATATCTGTATTATTATTATTATTATTCGCTAGTTCCTTTACGAGCTATTTATATTTCTTAACTGACCACTGCATTGGTATAAATTCTACAAAAATTAATTATACACAATATAAAAAATATCAACAAAAATGATTATATAATGATTATGATTAATGATTATTTATAATAGACTAATTTTTTTAATAATTATAATAATTTATATTAAAGTTATCATAAATTATAAAAAAAATTAAATAATGGTAATTTGGAAAACAAAAAACTACTCAATTTTCTTGTGCAAAAATTTTTGTAGAAATTATATCATAATTAATATAAATTCACAAGTAATTTTTAACAAAAAGTATAAATTTGCCGGTTAAACGTCCCCTTCTTTTTTGATTATTAAAAAAAAAAAAAAAAAAAAAAATTAAATAAACTCGTAAACTTGCAGTTCTATATATCTGCAAGGAAAGACCAATGAATGAGCTCATTTTTCTACATAAATGTTCACTAAATGTTTAATAGATAAATGTTGTCTATAATTAAATGTTCCAAAAATAAATGACAAATATATAGTGGACGTTTAATCGACTGCAATATATTGTATAAACTCTCCGCTTAGTTGTACATTTTTATGCACAGTAGTTTTTAAAGGAAAAAAAAAAAAATGAAATAGCTACTGCATGAAAGCAAATAATATAGAAGCGAGACTGAAACTTGCACTATAATAAAATTTATAGAAAGTACTGAAAATTTATAAAAAGATTTATCAAAAATAAAAAAAATAATAAAATTACCCGACTTTATAAAAAAAAACAAACAAATTAATTAAGACAAAATATGGCAGAGGCTTATAAAAATGGACTGAGATAAATCTGGATCAAAATTTTCACACATTTTTGTGAATTAATTATATTACAGAAAGAGAATAATAATTAGATTTTTCATTATGTCAGTATATTTGCACGAGTGTTTCAAAAATCAAAGTACACGCGAAACAATTTTGAAAAATGTGTGCAAAGTTCACGATCGAAGTAAAAAAAAAAAAAAAAAATAATAATAATAAAAAAATAAAATAAAAAGGAACTCCTACGAGCGTGAGTTTTAAGGGTGTGCGAGAAAGACAATAATTAACACAGCCTTAATTGATGAAAGTATTTTACAGCACGGTGGCTGCGCGTTCCTTGTGACCTTCTTGAAAATCTCAAAATTCCCGTTCAGGGTCCTTCTATTTTTTTTCGACCGCGAGCTTTATAATTTGACAAATTTTCTTTAATTTAATCCAAAAATTAATTGCAAATTCAAAAATTGTATAATTAATTTATAAAAATTTGATAGATTTTACTCAATATATAGTGATTCTACTTTATCAAATCTGATTAGTTCAGATTTGAATTTTCTTTTAAGGAAGAATAAGTACGTTAAACTCAAAAAAAAATGCCATACAAAAGTGTAAGTACAAATTCATTTTGTCAATGACCTCTAGAGCCAGAATAATTGTATTATTTTTTTATATAATTAATTTTAAGACACAAAATTTTTCATTAGACATTGAATAATAGATTTTGTAAAAAAAAATTATTACTATTATTAAATCGCAAGGATCGCGCAGACGTAGCAATTTATTATTAGCACATACAAAAAAAAAACGAAAAAAGTGAAATTTTAAGTCGTTAATATTTAACGTGTTGATTGATTTGTTAATTATTTAATAGTAATAAATATTACGTAAGTGTGTTATTAAATATTACACCAATATATGTATATATATATTGTGTGTGTGGGTTCGAGCCGATCGACAAGATTTTATGCTTCCCTGTATGGCCTATCATAATCTACGACTTCATTCTATAAATGATATTATGAAAAAATATTAGAAAATTAATTATTATATTACATTTAAAAAAAATGAGTAGAAAAGCAATTAGATAATGTAGAATATGAAATTATATTATATTATACGTATATAAATCATTAAAATCGAATGATAAAAATTTATCATCAAAAGAAATTATAATTATAGTAAATATTTAATATTTTCCGAAAATTAAAACAATACTATATTATGTAATATTTCAAAAAGAATCTTCAAACAAAATTTATTTGATTGTTCATAAATTAATTTGTAAATTATGTTGGAAAAATTTATATAAAAGTGTTATTGTAAAAAAAAATCGCCATCGTTGACTTGGCCTAAAATAGTTAATTTTAGAATTGTTAACTATGAAATGTTGAGAAAAAATAATTACAATTACCGTTTATAACAAGAAATTATAGTATGTATCTTCTATCTTATCTTTGTGATTGATATATTTAAATTTTCATTTTCAAAAAATAATGTGCGTAAAAATAAGTTTCCTTTTTAAGAGTTCATGTATAATAATTTTTGCAATTGTTTATTTGTCGGTCGGACGATATGAATTCAAAAACTAAAAAGAATAAGAAGCTTCCGGTGATTATGGAATGACTATTAGTCAGAAAATTTTGATAAAAAAGAGTCTTGAAAATTTGGAGAATCTTCAAATTTTCTGGTAAAAGACACTTTTTTTTCTTGTTATCCGTTATAATTATTTATAAATAGAATAAATTTTTTGTTTTGTTTTGTTTTGTAAACGTAAAAACATTCAAAAAAATTAAAAAAAACAACTTTAAATTAATTTTGCTAATTAAATTTAATAATAATCAAATTTTTTCATTCTAAAAAAAAATTAAGAATACGAGAAAGTTTGAAAGAATCTTCAAATAAATAACTATAATAAATTAAAAAAGAATATGTCTTCAATTCAATTAATTAGACAAGTGCTATAATTTACAGAACGGGTTTTTCTCAAACTCAAAATAATTGTTTTTTGTCAATCAACCAATATCTTTATTAGTCTAAAAGTTCAATTCTCTAAATATGCACTAGTGAAAAAAGTGAGATACTAATATTTAAAATACTTAAAATCTTTATCGAAAATTAATTAATTTTAATTTTGTTATAGTTGAATTGAATTACAATTAATTAATTAAACTATAACAAAATATAATTTATTAAAATTTTATATTAATGAAATTAAAATTAATTAAATAAAATATTAATAAATTTAAAACAATATAATTAATTAATTTTAGAAAATAATTTCAATAGGTCAAATTTGAGAATAATTTTCAGTGTGTGTCTTTTAAAATATCACATGCCCTTAATTATAAGAAAAAATTAATAATATGACAAAGAGAAAAAGTTTCATGAAATTTTGAGAAATTTAATGAGCCAATTTTAAAAAGATATATCTAATTAATTGGAAAGAAAAACGAAATAAAATGTGATGAGATGATTCGTAAGAATATCAGAGGAATTCAATTTCAGCAAAATAAATGAAAGAAATAATAATGAAGAATAAATTGTAACTTATCGCGTACATATATAGGCTGTAAACAATTCTTTGTAGAATTTTATTATAACAAAAAAAAATATATTTTTGTCCATTTCTTCCTCTTATATGTATATTTATTACTAAGATTAATTCAGGAATTGGTATGAAAGTCAATCTCTAGATGTTATATTATGCGTGTAAGTGTTTTTTATTAGATTTAATTAATAAGCGTCGATCAATTTTTCATGTGTCCTTAACCAAAAAAAGTAGCGTGAAATCAAAGTCAATATTTTTAATTTTTAGAGCGAAACAAAAGCAGAAAAAAAGAAAGCGATTACCAATTTCTGAAATGGTCAATTTTTAGATTAGAACGTGTCCCAAAAGTGTGCTCACGACTGGAAAAAGTAAAAATTAAATCGACGAGGTCCATTTTAAAGGAGCTTTTGAGTTTAAAAATAAAAATTATCCCAAGTGACATCCAATATTGGGGTAATATTGACAACGTTACATAAGAATCATAAATATTATTTATTAATATTTCTTATTATTATTATAATAATAAGTATATTATATACTAAATCGGAATATTTAGAAAAATTCTTTATTTAATTAGTTATTATATTTACTTGTTGTTTTTTTTAATTAAATTAAAATAAATATATTTCAAAAATTGTGAAAAATATTTTTTCAATATTCCCTTAATATTTTTTTAAAATTAAACTTTAACGTGAAATTTTTCCGCAAGATACACACATGAAATATTAAGGGAATATTACTATAAAATACTTTTGTGCAATATTTCTACAAAATATTGGATGTTATTTGAACGACAACTTGTTGATATTGATCCTGATGAATATCTAGATTTATAATATGCGATTCTGCAAATGAATGTTGATGTATATATTTATAAATAATATTTGCAATTCTAATCTTTAGAAGCTAGTTTGCACAACATTATTGTTATTCAGTTGAAATATGTAATATGTACAGTAGTCAATTCAGATTTGAGCCTCGTCGAGTCGCTAAACTTATTTGCATTCTCACGAAAAGCGTAAATCGAAAGCATCCTAAAGCGTCAATATAGTTAGTCTATAGCTTGTAATAGTTATGTACATAATTGTTGTAACTGCGTCTTAAAATGAACAAATAAATATGTATACATATACATCTATATATACAAAAAAAAAACACATACACACTGTAGTTGAAGAAAAAAAAAATTCGCATCACGCACCATTTATGAAAAACAAAACAATGAACGTATATTGCAAAAAGAATGATGTAATATTACAGTTGGATTGTAGTAAAGAGTTAAGACACTATTAGGTGTTATTGTAATCCAATGTACTTGACTCGTTTAAAAAAATAAAGCTATTGCTAATTATTGCAGTCACAGACTTTTTTATTAACCTATAATAGAGTACAAAACGAAATTATCAACTACAATTTAAAATATATTTTTCATTTTTCTTCTTTGTAATCTTATTTGTTTTTTTACTAACTGTACAAACATACAATGAAAAGATTTTTCAATTTTTAATTTAATACAAAATATGTATTAAAAAAATTAATTAATGTAATAAAAAAATATTTAAAGAAAGGAATCAAAAAAAATTTTTTTAAATGAAACAGAAATATGTAAAAAAAATGAGCCGAAATTTTTGAACGTTCATATGAACGAAATATTTTTTTCAATCTATAAATTATTAAAAATTATTATGACCATGTAAAATAAAACAGTAAATTAAACAATTATTAAATTAATAACATCTTTTTAGATATTTTAAACAATATTTTGTAATAAAATTTGTACTTAAAGAAGTTGCAAAAAAAATTTCGTTCATATGAACGTTCAAAATTTTTGGCTCATTAAAAAAAAAAAAAAAAAAAACAATGAAAGAAAATTAATTTAAATTATTATAAATTTTATAAAATAATTTAATGTTGAATAACGTAGTAAACTTCATGGCATTGCATATGGGTTTGTAATGATATTTGATCGATAAATGCTTTAGAGCATTTATGGCATTGATAAGAGCGAGCCAAGTGTTCTCCTAAATGAATCTGGAATAAATTATTGTCACTAAAAATTTCATTACAAATATTACACTTCAGTTTCTTTACCGGAGAGTTTAAATGAATTTTTGTGTGCACTTCAATTTCCTCTAATGTAGAAAATTCCATTTCACAAATATTACACAAAAACTTCACTATTTTTGTCTTAGATTTTTTTGAAATTGAACTGTCCGGGGAATTGTTCGGTGCGTCCAGATATGTCTGTTCTATATGCCTGTTGAAAATTAACGAGAATTATTTAATACAAAATTTGATTGATTAGTTACTTACTTAAATTTTGTTCTTTAAGATTCTTTGATATTTTTTTCATTTTTATAAAAAAATATAATTCCGTTAATTAAATAGAAAATTAAATAGAAGCAAATTCGGTTTAATGAAAATTGTGTCAAAAGCAAATTCGATAAAAAAAAATTCTAGCAACATCAAAATTCTTACCTCGTAGTTTCTTCTTCTGAATCACAATCGAGACGTTCATCAATATCGGTAAATGACAAGTTTTCAAGTTGTGTTTCAGGTCTTAAATTGTGCATATTCGAAATGTGATCTTTCGCTAAATCCTTAGTTTCAAATGGAAAATCACAAATGTGACACTGAAAGGGACAATTCTTATCAGAGCTTTCATGCAGCGTCATATGACTATTGAATTTTAATTCCGAATCACAGAAAGTATAACAAATGTCACAGGTAAAATGTTCTTTGATGTGATTAATAAGCAATTCGGTTGTTGAAAAAATTTGATTGCAAGTTTCACACTGGAAATTCTCTTCTTCCAAATCGATTATTTCATTCTCTTGATGACTGATATTCTTTGACATTTCCATTTGATTGTTTGTTTTTTTTATTTCATTCGGCGCATTTGTCTGTACACTTGTTTTGAATTTATCTTGAATTTTTGTAAAGTTGTCATTTGATGTTTTCAATAAACTGATTAATTTTTTCGTCTCATTGTTTGGTATTTTCATCAAATTGTTTGAATCTATCGATTTTTTTGGCGTTTTTAATAATTCATTTTCTTTCTTTAATTTATTATTCAACGTTTGCGTCTGATTGTTTTTCTGTTTTAATTTCATATTTGGTATCATTTTTAATAATTTCTCCTCTTCTTTCGACTTTTTTAACATTTTTAACAAATCGTTGACATTTTTCGACTTATCTTGTAATTCCTTTAATAAATATTTTGCTTTCCTCAATTTATTCTTTGATATTTTTGTCTGATTATTTTCCATCAATTTATCTTTATGTTTCTGTAAAATGTCATCTGATATTTTTAACAAATCGTTTACTTTCAAATGAGTTTCATTTTCACATCCAGATAAAGATTCTTGAATGTTAATTGAGAACTTTGAATCTTTTTTATCGTTATTTGCTTTTGAATTGTTAAGATTTTTTTTCAACAAATTTTTCTCTTCTTCCTCAGTGTCAGGCGAAGAAGTGTCATCCCAAAAATTGGAGGATACATCGTCTGAATCCTCCAGTTCATCGTCATCAAAGAAATCACTCAGTACATCATCATTCACATTATTAGGCTCATTAACTGAAGAAGGTAATTGTACAACTGTTTCAATTGACTTATTGTAATAATTACCACAATTCCTGCATTTATAAGCTTTGGTTTCATCCCAAATTGTGCTCTTTAATTCACAATTACCACCACAAGAATTACTATTTCCGGTAGTTGTAAATATCAAGTGTTCAGAAAGCATTTGTATACATTTTTTTGATTCCGATAAATTCATTCTAGTTGTACGATCATTAGATTCTTTTGTTTTGTCCAAACAAAATGTATTGTTTGAAATTTCTTCCTGTGATTTATTTATAACATTGTAAATATTATTACAATTCATACATTTGAATGATATATTTTCGTCGCAAATTATTTTCTCTAATGCACATCCATTTTTACATCGATTATCATCGGCATTACTCCAAAGATTCTTACATTTCTCTGACAGTGTTTGATGATGGTCATTTTCTTCAATTGTTTCGTTTTGATCGGAAAATATTAAATACTCTTCTTCCATTTCCTCATCTTCTTCTTCTTCAACGTCATTGACTTCATTTTTTGCTTGATGTAAATCATTTGTTGACTGTAAAATATCTTCACTCATTTCATTTTGATCAGAAAACCATGAATATTCTGCTTCACCATCATCATCTTTTTTTTCTTCTTTTTCATGATAGTCATTTGAAATTTGCATTCTTTTTTGTTCTGGTTCAGTTGTCTTATTCTGATCAGAGGAGGAGAAATATATTTTTTTATTAGAAGATTGCAATCTGTCTTGATTCGCTTTAATATTTTGATCCGAAAATTTTAATTTTTGAACAGAATCACTTGAAGGTTGCAATCTAATTTGATTCACTTCAGTATTTATATTTTGACCAGAAAACCTTAATTTTTTGACTATTTTTTTTTCTTCCTCTTGACAAGAGTCATCTGAAATATCTATTATCTTTGAATTTTTTTCAGTTTCCACATTTTCATCAAGATATCTGAAATTTTCTTCATCTTCTTCTATTCCATTTTTCACAAATACATTTGTTTCTTTTCTTTTTCTCTTTTGAATCGCATCCCTCTGAATATTATTTGAACTTTTATCATTTGTTTTTATAGAAACTTGAGAAATTTTATCAATGTCAATTACCAAACGGTAACGAATAGGAGAATTCTCTGGTGTTTTTGATTTGACTGGTGTTTTTAAAGAGTTCTTTATAGTTCGAGAATGAACTATTGGTAATTTTGGTGATTTTCTTTGATTCTGAAAATAAAAATTTAAAATTAGGTATTATTTTCAAATTTAGAAAAAACGTGCTATTCTTACTTGCAATGGAGATTTTTTAGTCACTTCTGACGATGAATTTGGTCCTTGTACTTTAATTTTTTTATTGGAAGAGCCTTTAGTTTTATTTCTATCATAAGATAAATTTTGATGTACTTTTCGCCTATTTAGATCCTCTATAATAACATAAAATTATTCAAATTTCAATTTCATTTTCAATAGAAAAGTATTTTTTAATAATCCAAATTTTATTTTTAAAATTATATTTCGTAAGTAATATAAATTAAGACGTTGAAAAAAATTGTTAAATATATCAAATAAAAGATAAAAATTATCAATTAGTAATTAAGTAATTTATGAAAAACAAATTTCAGTCACAAAAATGTAGTCTTTCCATTTGAGGTTATGTTAGGAACTGAAAATATACCTTTAATTAAAATATATTATAAAAAATCTACACTTACCAAAAACACTTGGTACTGCATTAGGTTTCAGTGATAAATCTTTCGTAATATATCGTTTTTCAAAATGCAATTCACATAAACGAAAGAAATTGTTATCTTTAACATGAGAAACCTTCTTGCAAATTGTTTTCCAATGTTCTTGTAAGCTAAAATAAAAATCATGTTTTTAACTAATTTGATCAATGACAACATATTATAATGTTTATTTTAGAAATTATATAATTTTAAATTACGTTTTATCCTTTGGATATGGATAAAATTTTATCTGCCGACCACCAATTTGAGTTGACAAGTCAGATTGACAACTCCACACACTACAGCTCCAAAACATAATTAGTAAAATAATTAATAAATAAGATACGATGCTGAATATTATTTTACATCTTTATACACTTGACTTATAATAAAACTAATAATATCATCATTGTTATTGTTTTCACAGAGCCATGTTATCCATGCTTATCTATGTAATTTTGGACATCCTCTTAAGTGACATCTGTTGATCAATTTCCAATATAAAAACTATTTCATCGTTGATAAATTAACGTCTTTCGATAAATAAAATATTTCAAAATTCAGAAATTCCTTTTTGTACAATATTTTTTAATGACAAAAAGACATTTTTACAATAATATTTACAAACAAGTGAAATTTTTTGTTTTTTACAGTAAATAGAATTGTAATCTACTATAGAACGTTGCCAACTGTAGGAATCTCGGAAATTCCGCTCAGTCGGTATATTAACGTTTTGAGTGAAATAATAAATAAAAATAAATTTTAAATACAATTAGACTATAAAAAATAATTTTTATGATATATGTTAAATGACATTTTAATGAGTGTAATATTTTTAATAATGAAGTTGCATTTATTATTTTTTAAAATAATTGAAGTTTACGTACAGTGCTGCCAACTACTCGAGTTTTCGGGACTTCCCCGCAATAGAAATATTTGAAAACTGCATTTTTGAATGATACAAAACATTTCTTACAAGAATTATCTAAAATAGGGTAAGGGGTACAGTGACCGACACCCTGGGCATACTTTCAACTTTAAATGACATTTTATCGTAATTTATTAAAGATTTAGTTATAAAATAAATTTTAAATAAAAGATTTGGGTTAAAATTTATAGTACACAAGTTTAAAATTAAAAAACACCTTGATAAGAGTTTATAATATTAATTTAAAAATGTATGGTATGAAAACAGTGAACGACACCCTTTAATAAAATAAAAAATATTTAAACTTCTATTTAAGTAACATGATATTTATTAGTATTATCATAAATTTTATTATTCAGACTTAATGTACAAAAAAAGTTGCTTTTAAAATATAATTATTTAACAATTTTTTCATATTTATAAAATTTGTAATCAATAAAGCAAATTTTTTGAGGTTAGTTTTCTAGAAAGTATTAAATATTGAGGAAAATATAAACATATAAAATTTTGTATAAACTGTATAAGTTTTTAAATATTGTATATTAATTAATTTACTAGTGATATTTAATTAAATATTATTATTTTTATAGTTATTATCGTTTTTAATAGCAGGTGTCGTTCACTGTCTGGGTGTCGGTCACTGTACCTTTTACCCTATGGGTTTCGAAATTGTGTAATTTAGATTATTTAGATTAATTAGCGTAATTAAGTCATAAAAAGCACTTGAATTTCTAATTGTTTAATAATTTAAATTCATTATAGGCTGATTATAATATTACAATGTTAATTTCAACTTTTTTTTATTGTAATGCCGCCTGTCAAAGTTAAAATTTCAAAAATTAGCTTTTAATTTTAAAAATTTATACAATTACTTAACAAAATTAAAATTTTTTTACTCGATTTAAAATATGTTCAATTTTAAAAGAAAATTAATATTTTTTACTTTTAAATATATAACATACAATATATCTATTTATTTAAAAAATAAAAATTTTTTTTTATTAAAATAAACAATTAATTCTATTTAGTAAGTAACATTCATTTAATTAAATATGTTTTAATTACCTAAAAGATTTAACATAAACATAATATTAAAAAATAGAAAAAATTATTAATAAACATAATAAATTTAAAATAAGAAAATGTTTAAATTAATAAAAAGAAAAAAATTGTGAAAAGAATTTTATTTTAATGAAATTTTTTTTTTATTTTCAGTATATTTAAATTGTAGTTATTTTTGATATGTGTACATATATTACACTGTGAGGTAGAATTGTTCCTTGAATTGGGAAAAAATACTAAGCCAGTACACAGTTTACCAGTAGAATTTAGTGATCCCCATTTCAATTACTAGAAAAGTTGCAGCAATAGTAGGAGAATGAAGGCACGATGGTTGACAGAATTGGCCTCATCGGTCACCAGGGAAGCGTGGAACACGTTGAGGCTCTCTTGCTACCCCGCTATTCTCATTTGTGGTTGCTAGACCATTTCTAGCAATCCTTTGAGTCGAACCAACTTCGTCCTTTTTAAATCCCCCCACCCCCCCTTCATTCCAACATTTCTAGCAATTCATTTTCAACGACTCTCAGTCACACCATAAACCTCTTTAAACATATATCTACAGATACGGAGTGATAAATTGTTTTGGTCCTTTCCTTAGAGAAAGTATCAGAGCACATACATTTGCCTAAGTGATATTAAAGTTTCAATTTAATCCACTTGAAGAATTCAATTTTCAATGGAAATTTTTTACTTTTGTATAAAATTAACATAATTTTTTTGTTATTATAACTTAAAATAATTTGTAAACTTTAAATTTTAAATTAAAGAATAATTAGAATAAAGAAATATTAAAAGAAATAAATATAAAATTTTTTTAATAAATTAAAAAAATAAATTACTTATTTTATCAGAAAAAAATAATAGTAGATATTAATTATATATATATATATATATATATATGAAAGCAAAAAGTTCTTGATAAAATTTTACTATCAAATAAAAAATCTTTTCAAATTTTACAAATATCTGAGGAATTTCTCTAATGTTATGCGACCATGAATGTCTTTGGGCTTCTAAAATGCAGTTTATGAAAAAGGTAATTTTATTGTATAGAAATTTTTTCTTCATACTTTTTTTCCAGAATCATTATTAATACTTGTGAGTTTTGAATATTTATAATGATTCACTTTTTTAAATATCCATTTACTACAGAGAAGGGTATAATAAAATTTAATTCAATATTAATTTAACACTTTAATATTTATAAACATCCAATTTTAGTTTATTGATTCCTCACTTGATCGAGTCCATTAAAACTTCACGATTAAAGTTTAATTATTAAATATTTTTTTAAAATTACATCTTTAAAACACTGAAAATTTTTTTTAATTGACTCAAATAATAATTTTTTTATACAAATAAATATTTATTTGACAACAGTTAAGTAATCAATTACCCAAGCAAAAATTTCTGTCAAACGCCGATATTGACAACAGGCGCAATCATGCACCAATACTGGCTGGCCGACAGTTGGCTTACCAGTATTGGTTCAGTATTGATATGGATTAAATTCTGTACTTTGTCAATACCGGCATGACAGTATTTATTGAGACAGTAATGGCAAACCAGTACTCGGTCAGTATTAATTCAATACCGAATGCCAGTATCCAGAAAAATTATGAAAATTTACCTCCATGATGTTGGCGTTAACGCTCAGTGCCGAAAATTATTTTTTACAGGACAAAAAATGTCAAATTATTTTTTTAAAAAGATTTTCGGTCCAAATATGTAATGCCTTTAGAAATACTTTTTAAAGTATTATGTGAACCCAAAAGTTTTTTAAAAATGATTTGTTATTTTTGGTCCCGTGAAAAATAATTTTCGACGTTGAGCGTCGACGCCAATTTCATAGACGTGAAAATTGTGTATTTTTGTTATGGTTAGAAATTAAATTTACATACATATTTGTTTTAAATTATTTTAATACATCTTTTCGATTACTGCAATGCGTTCGTTAGCGGAATTATGAAATTTAAATTTAATATTAAAACTTTTTATTAAAAGAAATACATAATTAATGAAGTTCTTAAATTATTTTTCTTACACTGAAAAAATATATTTGAATCAAGTAAACTCTATTTTAACCAATAATTTCATTCAATTTCGGTAATTTAAAGAAATACAAATAAATATATATTTTATAATATTTGAAGAAATTATTTGAATAATAAAATGTTAATATAAAAAATAACAATTTAATAGTTATTATAATAATTTATTATTATTAATAGTTAATGGTTCGAGCGAAATGTCGGTTATTCTTCGATCCAGCTGCTCAATTAATGTAAAAAGCAAAAGGAACCCTGAATTTTGAATATCTACCAGTGCTGGCTTATTACTGGTTACTATAATTTTGCCCGTACTGGCAAAATACAGAATTACTGCTAAATTTCAGTATTGAACCAGTACTGAATGCCAGTACTAAGCCATTACTAATGACCAGTACTAATAAACGTTATCATCCCAAACATATGCCAGTATTGATTCATTATTGGCGGTCAGTACTTTCCCAGTAATTGCCAGTACTGGCGCAATACTGCGCCGGTTGTAAATTTTTGCTTGGGTATTTGAATCAAATATAAATTTTTTTTCAATGTAATAAGATGGGGTAATATAAAATTTATTTCTTCATTGTACACTTTTTAAGTTTCAAAATTTAACAATTTAACCTTATTTTTTAACAATTTTAAATTCTTTATATTTTTGCAGATATTTACAATAACAAATTTTAGCAATATTTTTTTTTCTTTATTTATAGGATATATTATTTAAAATTAAATAAAAAACAAACCCGTCTGCAGATATGAAAAAAAAAGATTTTTTTTGCTGGAAAAAAATTTGTTCATAAAAAAATAAATTCTGATATAATGTTTGTTATTGTGCAGTTTAAAGGCATCTATAACCTATGCTGCTCATTAAGGCATTTAATATACAAAAATGATAGTATGTTGCTTAATGAATGAAATAGGAATATGAAAATAACTTTTTTAATTAACTCTGTAACAATAACCGAGGAGAAAGTATTGATTAAAAGCAGAGGCAAACCCTATATGTGTGTGTATGTTTCAAAGTATATTAATTAGTTTATCATCGTAACCCATTCCTCTCGCTTTACTGGCAATGCTCAGCCAACCTGAAAAATGCTCTTTCGTTCAAACTCTCACTATTTGAATTATTTCTCTCTCCGAGAGCAATGTTAATTTTTGCGCACATTTGTGTCGTTATATAGTGATAAATGAAATAATATGCCCCACCTCCCGAGTGATCCTATATATAGCTACAGATGGTGTAAATATGTATTTAACATAAATTAACAACCATAATGAATGTGTTGGCTTATTTTGCTTCTACTATGCGTACATATATATATATATACAATTACAAAGTTTGTGTCGAAGCGCATAATACTCCGCGATATGAAATCCGAATTTGTATCATGTGGTGTTTTCAACGCGTGTGACCAGAGCT